GACAGCGCCTTGAATTAGTGAGACAGTGCCTTTCTTGTAAACGTGGACCATCCTTGACGGCAAATAAATAACATTATTTTTTACTCAATTATTTAATTTATGGAGTGCCTAGATTGGATGGCTGGGTTATACGGCTTTAATGATGCCAGAGTCACCCTCCCCTCCAGGTGAAGATAAACGCATATCAGCTCCTTGTTTAAGAGCCAGGATAGATTTATATCCAGCTGACAGAGCTGACATATGATAAAAGAACGCTTCCTTTTCTACTTGAACGCTAAACTTCGTGATTCCATATTCCTTGAAAAGTGCGCCAACCTGGGAAATAAGATACAGCACAAACCTAATTAGCAGCTACCCTCAATCAACACACCGCAATTCGCGGTATCAGTCTAAACTGGAAAGGGTAGGGAGTGTCGATGTCGAGTGTAAACTGAGGCGCAATCCTACAGCTGATCATGATGTAGTTTAGGTTGGCCCCAGCGATGGACACCCACCCCACCAAGGCAGTTCCTCAGGAGAAATAGCAAAAAAATTTCTTAACCTCAGTTACCGCAGTAATTTTTTGTCAGTTAATATATCGTATTATGTTTGTTTGTACAGTGGAAAACCTTTGTTAAGGGGACCCCAAGTTAAGAGGACAGGAGCTTTATGAGTCTTCAACTTTTTTTTCGCCTACTTTCTGTTAAGACCGGGCTGGTTTTCACTAGCGACGGTGTCGGTCATAACCTGAAGCGTAGAGCGTCATTATCTCTGATCCGCTTACGATCTAGTGAACTGACTAGGTTGTTAGAATCCCAAACAGAGGATCTTAAACCATCCATTACAACATGCCGGGAACGAGCATTGTGGTTTGTATATTCCAACCACAACAATTTGGTTTTCACTAGACTGTAAGAGAGGAGTCATATACAGATTCGGGAAAATGGAAACATTCTGGCTGTTCCGTCTCCGATTCCGTCGCGCTTATGACTCCGCTTACGACATTAAGACTCCGATTTTTGATTTTCACTAGGTCATAACCGTTCTTACAACGATTCCCCTTACGATTCCAAGCAGACAAAAGAGATAGTCCAGTGTGTATAATACAGGTTTCACTGTAAACAGAACAAATTGAATGACCGTTCAAATCCGAAACTTGTTAAACAAGTGACACTAGCCAGTTATCGAATGAACACTCTGCTCAGGTACCGGTACTTACCATTTGAATAACTCTCTGTTCATTGGCTGATGGTGCAACTTGAACATGAATTGAGCCAACTATGATGGGGAGGGTAGACAGGGATGACAGGTGACTCGCCTTGTAAAAAATTCTCCTGTAAAAGTTTTCATATAAGAATGAAAACGAGTTTCTATGGAGCGTGTTTCTCGTCATAAAAGGGTCATATGACGTTGGCTTTAATGTAATTTCTACCCTCATGGTTCATGTAGGTATTCCCCCGAGAGAATGTGGTGAGTGCTTTGGTCACAGTGTACAAGAATAACGTGTTAAAGTTCCAAGATGGCACTATGGGTGCCGTGAATGGCATGAGACCTAATGGGCAGGTAAGTCCTGTGTTGGTCAATACTGGTACTGGACTTCGCATCCGCAGGGAACAATTGATGTTTGGCTTTTTTGCTATCTGCAAAGACTGTTCGTCTTTAGTAAGGCAAGCCTACCGGGCCAGAACCCTTTGAAAATGCTCAACCATCTATTAAAATGCTTTACTAAGCTGCAATCCTCGTCACAAATCGTTGAAACAGAAGCCCTTCAATTTTCCCCAATTTCTTACATTCACTCTTCACACCTTTGTTCTCACTCAAATGTGCCCCTCTCCCTCCCCAATGTTGAGCCACGCGTATTTTGGAGCACTGAGATGACTGCAATATCTAAATCAACATTGGGCAAGGGGGAAATCACACAAGTGTTTCAAGATTTGTGACGCGTATTGTGGCACGCCAACTTTGAAGCCACGAACATCTCGGAAACCTCTATAGTCAACTCGTCTAAGAGCTTCGTGGCGACCCGGCCTAATACTGTTTAGGTGTCATTCTTCATAATAGGTCGACACCAGTAGTTTACAGGCGGAGGAGGTCTGGACTGGCGTTACATACGCTGTAGCTGCGGCCATGATCCAAGAGGTATCGTTTCTACTGTAAAACACATTTTTTTTTTCAACTCAATTTGTTTTTGTGTTTCCTTTAACATGAACGAGAACTCTGTTTATACTAGTTTTCTATGTTTTTGTAAGTTTTGCCGTAATTTGCCCGCCGGATTCAATCTTTCTATTGGTTGACTTCTACGTTAGAGGAATTAGGCTTTAATTCAATTTACTGCTTTTTTAACTTCTAGGGTCTGGTTGAAGAGGGCTTTAGAACAGCCAGTGGTATTTACAACACTTGTTTTGAGCGACTGGGGATGGGTTTCCAGACTCCTGAGGCCATTGTTGCTAATGGCAACTTCCGTTCCCTTGGTTACATGAGACCGCTGAGCATCTGGGCCGTGCAGTGGGCGCTGGAGAAAAGGAACAAGCCTCCTGTCACGCCTGCCGCTCATGATGATGCCGCTGCTCCGATCCGTGATCACTCGCAATGTAACGGTTTTTGTTAAGTCTCCAATGAGAGTTAAATTCACACATTGTATATACATGTATATATTTAATAGTACTTAAACAAAATGAAAGGGATATTTATCGTTCTGTAAAGATTATTACATGGCAATAATAATCCTTAATGTAAAGTGCAATTTCAGTGGTTTTGTTACAAAAGTTATATAATGGCGAGTCTTGGGACTCATCTTTTGAAAAATCATGAGTCCTGATTAAAAAAACGAGTCCGAAATTGTAAATGCCTGGGCCTTTATGTAACCAGACAATTAATCTGAAGACAGACTCTAAAACTCTGTACTGCTGTATTACAGTATACTGACATTAAAATAAAATATAGTTCTTCTATTTTAAAGCACAACAAAGGCTAAAAGAAATATGTATCGTTAAACAACAGTTATAATAACTGCCACACACAGAAATTACACGAACAGGATATTTCTACAAAAACACGTGTTTAGATGGATCGATCGATCTTTGCGTCCTATGGGACGCATGGACGCATGCCATGAATTATTTTGCGTCTTTGAGGATTTTTATGCGTCAGGGACGCGGGACGCAGAGGTAACAAAATCACTGCAATTTTGCGTTGAAGGAAAGGAATATATTGAAAGTGACATTTCAGTCAGATGCGTACGTTTTAAAATTCGGGGTCTTTATTATTTGCACATTCTTTCCAAATTGAATGAATTTAGAAGATTAAGTTATGTATTACTGTAGATTGTTATTTACTTTACTAATTGCAGCATACGCGTATCTGTCGCAATTGTCGCAATTTTTAGCTTAAAAATACTAATATATTCCAAAAGGAGAATACAACAGTTACACGCGTGAGAGAATATCAAATGTCTTTTATGAGTTTATCCTCAGATTCTTGTACTCACATTTATTTTCCATGAAACGATAAAAGTTTTCAGACGAGAGTTGATCTCTTGATTTTCATCTAAAAACTTCTGATCATGCTGGCCATGTATTTGTATTACCATGCTAATTTGGTTCAGTCAGTATCACCTCACACACTTTACACATTATGGGTCGGGTGGGTTACAGTTAGCTGATAAATGGACCGGCCGATAGCGGATGCGAGAGCCGTGCTTGTACGCTGACGTCCGAGCTTAATGTCAAATTAATTGGTGAAGAGGACAAGTGCTGTTGTCCTGTCATTCGCGCCGTTTCATTACATTTCAAGTGACTTTTATTCTTGGGAAGGGGGTTCGGGCGAGTTAAAGGAGTTTGTTTCTAGGCAGTTATCACCTTAGGTTTTCTTCACAACTTAAGATATAATTAGTAGCAGGAAAGCAAAGCAAACATTTGTTTTCCGTGTAATCTAAAATAAGTTTTACAATTTCGTCAAAAGATCAAATCACTACCCTCGTTCCCAGGGTTACTGTGACGTAAAGTGAACCCTGTCAACCCTGGGAACGAGGTTGTCAATTTATGTGTAACTTGAGGCCATGAGTGCAAAACTCTGTTACAGTAGACCTTCTCACTATTTCGCTGCCGGCTTGCGAACTAGTGGTTTGTACAGCTAACGAGCGAGCGAGCGAGCGCCTGAAGATTCTTACCCGCGCTTGCATCTTTTCCTGTTTGTACTATCCCTTAGGATAATAAGCGACTACTGCTACTTCTGTAGTCCAGGCTACCTGTACACAAGGCAACCTTTTCTGCAGCTTTTTGGTGATTTCGAGACTGCCGACCGGAAAAGCGCATGCATGGAACTCCACGCCGGAAAAATGAAAATCCAGGGTAACGAAGAGACATGGGAACAGCTCACATGCTGACATCTCTAACACAGCTGTCAGAAAAGTTTGACTTGTGTAGGATGATTAATGTGTAGCTGAGTAAGCGTTCACGTAGTGAGTGGTCTTTTACGTTTAATGTGAATATTTTTTCGTAATTTGAGGCTGGGTGAGGGCTTTGTTTATCCAAGAAAAACTCTGTAAAATAGATTAAATTATACATTTTATTCCGTCAGTGAGATTGTTTCTAATAAGTTAGTTTTATGAAAAGAATGATTCACCGTTCTGCAGACACAACTGTTCAAAGATGTTGCAGAGCGCGCTTCTTATTTGTAGGCGCCCGAATTGAGCCCGTCTTAAACAGGGGAAGAAAGTCCTTCTTACCAATTAACATGGTATTGCATTTTAACGACAGACCCATCCTCAAATACACAGTAGAAGTTGGCAGATATTGTTGGGGGGAACAACCTTAGTACACGACTAACGAGAACACTATTGCAGGGGTCAATTTAACAAAACTTTCACAAGTGTAACCATTGTATTCGGACGCTAAAACAACAGCTACAATTGTAAATTACAGTTGTAAAAGAGTTACTAAATTCATCCAAGGATTTCTTTTATTAACAAAAGCCGACTGTGTACACTTTTTAAAAAGGTTTTATTCCCTTGTTTTCTTAACAGTTACATCCACCCACTGAGTTTTTCACATACGATTATTTTACAAGAGTTTTTGTTATGTACAAATAAAATGTGAATGACTTCACTCAGCTGAGCATCCGTAGACCAGGACCCAAGGTCATCCTTTGTCTTCTTTGCAGAATTTGATCATTTATTTTGCGACAGAAATAAAACTTTTGGACAAATTTACATAGCTGTGATCAAACGATGGAAGACCATAATAATTACCTGTACCACTGCTTAATACAGGTCAGTAGCTTTTTTGATCTGAGTATTCGCGGACTTAAAAGTTAGAACCACTTCACACAGCATGATACGACTGAACAAAGGGATACTCATACCAGCCACTGTTAAGGAAATGAGCCTACACCCCTTCCCCGAAAAGTCTCTTCTCGGGGAGTGGGGGAGGGCGAGAGAGCGGCGTGCTTCCACCGCTCAACATGATCGTTCCTGTTGACGATTATTCCTTCAGAGGACAGCGCCTTGAATTAGTAAGACAGTGCCTTTCTTGCAAACGTGGACCATCCTTGACGGCAAATAAATAACATTATTTTTTACTCAATTATTTAATTTATGGAGTGCCTAGATTGGATGGCTGGGTTATACAGCTTTAATGATGCCAGAGTCACCCTCCCCTCCAGGTGAAGATAAACGCATATCAGCTCCTTGTTTAAGAGCCAGGATAGATTTATATCCAGCTGACAGAGCTGACATATGATAAAAGAACGCTTCCTTTTCTACTTGAACGCTAAACTTCGTGATTCCATATTCCTTGAAAAGTGCGCCAACCTGGGAATTAAGATACAGCACAAGCTCAATTAGCAGCTACCTTCAATCACCAAACCGCAATTCGCGGTATAGTATCAGTCTATACTGGAAAGGGTAGGGAGTGTCGATGTCGAGTTTAAACTGGGGCGCAATCCTACAGCTGATCATGATGTGGTTTAGGTTGGTCCCAGCGATGGACACCCACCCCACCAAGGCAGTACCTCAGGAGAAATAGCAAAAAAATGTCTTCACCTCAGTTACCGCAGTAATTTTTTTTCAGTTAATATATGGTATTATGTTTGTTTGTACGGTGGGAAACCTTTGTTAAGGGGACCCCAAGTTAAGAGGACAGAAGCTTTATGAGTCTTCAACTTTTTTTTCGCATATTTTCTGTTAAGACCGGGCTGGTTTTCACTAGCGACGGTGTCGGTCATAACCCGAAGCGTAGAGCGTCATTATCTAATGAAAACAGCCCTCTGATCCGCTTACGATCTAGTGAACTGACTAGGTTGTTAGAATCCAAGACAGAGGATCTTAAACCATCCATACAACATGCCGGGAACGAGCATTGTGGTTTGTATATTCCAACCACAACAATTTGGTTTTCACTAGACTGTAAGAGAGGAGTCATATGCAGATTCGGGAAAATGGAAACATTCTGGCTGTTCCGTCTCCGATTCCGTCGCGCTTATGACTCCGCTTACGACATTACGACTCCGATTTTTGATTTTCACTAGGTCATAACCGTTCTTACAACGACTCCCCTTACGATTCCAAGCAGACAAAAGAGATAGTCCAGTGTGTATAATACAGGTTTCACTGTAAACAGAACAAATTGAATGACCGTTCAAATCCGAAACTTGTTAAACAAGGGACACTAGCCAGTTATCGAATGAACACTCTGCTCAGGTACCGGTACTTACCATTTGAATAACTCTCTGTTCATTGGCTGATGGTGCAACTTGAACATGAATTGAGCCAACTATGACGTCAGACGAGTGCCGCCAGAAATGGGGGTCTCGGTACGAGAGAACTCCATCCAGAGATAAAATCTATAAAAAAACCACAAACAAACAAAAATAAACATGGAAGTAAAAATTGAATGATCATCTTTGGTCTCCGGTATACTGGTTTCAATAACAAGCCTTTAAAAAAACTTCATGGCAAATGGAGAAATACGGAAAAAAGAAAAGGACATGAAATTTATCCCAAATTTCAGTCTGGCCTACTCAAGTTAAGGTAGATAGATAGATAAGAACTTTATTTTAGTACGATAAAAAGATCAGAATTGCTGGAGGGGTCGTGCATACAACAATTACAAAAAAAAATAGGGAGTGCTGAAAGCAAATGTACGATTAAAAATTAAGGTCAAGCAACATAAGGAGATTGTTCAGCAACTATCTACAATGGTCTCAACAGTGAGGTAGATTACTGGCTGCCTGTTTTACTGAGCTTAAGGGCAAAAGAAGAAATCAGGGCTGAATCGTGGTATACAAGTAAAAACTAACCTTATTAAAAGCGCTGCCGACAGTTTTGTCAAGTTCGGGAGGTGTTCTAAGCAGCAACACTTGGGATGATTCGCGAAGTAGAGGAAGTACGCTGAGGAATATTAAAGCCGCGATAAATAACGAACACAGAGGGTCTGCTATAAAGAATCCAAACTGTTCAATTAGCACTGAGGATACTATCACTCCAACACTGCCCATGGTATCAGCGACAACATGAAGAAATACTCCTGNAAATGTACGATTAAAAATTAAGGTCAAGCAACATAAGGAGATTGTTCAGCAACTATCTACAATGGTCTCAACTGTGAGGTAGATTACTGGCTGCCTGTTTTACTGAGCTTAAGGGCAAAAGAAGAAATCAGGGCTGAATCGTGGTATACAAGTAAAAACTAACCTTATTAAAAGCACTGCCGACGGTTTTGTCAAGTTCGGGAGGTGTTCTAAGCAGCAACACTTGAGATGATTCGCGAAGTAGAGGAAGTACGCTGAGGAATATTAAAGCCGCGATAAATAACGAACACAGAGGGTCTGCTATAAAGAATCCAAACTGTTCAATTAGCACTGAGGATACTATCACTCCAACACTGCCCATGGTATCAGCGACAACATGAAGAAATACTCCTGTAACATAACGAGAACATCAGCATTCAAAATAAACTCAACACTGATGATACTGTACTAGATAAACACCGCTGATGAAATAATCTTGTAACGAGACTAGCAGCTGCTTACGTTACCGTGTACAATGAACAAGAAAAGTTGTTAACCTTCAATTTCGAGTAGCCAGATCAACAACTTTTTGACAAAACTGGTTGAGACAAAATGAAAAAAGACAAAGACAAATATTGAACACACCCTTATTCACACACACGCGACTCCCTTTCAAAACCTTACTAGATACCTGACTTGTTCAGTTTTGTTTTAATATGTTATATAAATCCCTACCTTGCATATTTACACTGCGATCATGATGATGATCCTCATCAGTGTGACCTTGCCCGTGGCCATGACAATGACTGTGACCATGGTGACTGTGGCCATGGTTACTGTTACCATGGGAACTGCCGCCATGTGAGTGTGCATGCCTGAAGGCAAAAATGCCTACCAAGTTCACCACAAGTCCTCCAACAGACACAACCTGGTCAGAGGACACAAGCAGAGAATACCAACAGATTTCACTCCCAACTGAATACAGGTTTTGAAATAGCTACCTTTCCTTTTTCCTTGCAAAGTACTCACATTTTTGCATTTACATTTACAGTCACAGCAGATCAAGCGTACCACCCGAGATTGTGTTAATGAATCAATTATTTGAAAAATGAATCCATTAGTTGTTGTTGCAACCAGTCTCAAATTAAAATCGCCATTCCTGAATACATAATGAGCAGTGAATTTTTGAAGATAACTCCTGTGTATTCTTGAAAAATCTTTGAATGGATTAAATAACTATTGTTTTAAAGACATTTACATCAAATTCAAGAAAACTGCGCTGCAAGAAATTTCATGACTACCTCACGTGTGAATTCACTGCTCGTTACGAATGCAGGAGTGCAGAGATGAAACTGAACTCTACAACTACCAATGGATTCAACCTTCAAATAATAAATTCATTAATGCAATCTTGGGGGGTATGCTTGACCTGCCCTGACTGTAACATATCTACAACAATTACAATAAATATTTTTCACATAAAAAAAATGGTAAACAGTATTAATTTTGTTCACATTTTATGAACCCCATGGTAAGCTTTTTGAATGAAGTTGATATCAATGGCCCCACCATGGGGCATTTGCAGCTTATACACGAAAAAATGACAAGAATGCCCAAGTAACATACATTATAAGGTTGGGGGAAGGGTAAGCTTGGAACTTACTGATTAATAATTGGTACAATTTTATGATAGCAATGGACTTAAATTCTGTGTCATGTGTAACATACTTTCACATGCAGAAAGTTACATTCACTTTTTTTTTCCGGATCATTCAATGTTCGGCCTGAACCATACAGTCTATATCATAGAAATGCAATAAAATGAACTCACGAGAGCCGGATCAAGATTTTCTCTTACCAATAGTCTCTCAGTGTTGACATTTGGTGGATCAAACAAACGCTGAAGAGCAGCAATGAACACAAAGAAGGAAATTACTATCAAGAATATGCCATTAACAAAGCCAGATAAAATCTCCACACGGCCATATCTAAAAAGAAATAAAAGAAACTTAAAAATGAATGAACCTCAAGGTTAACAATACTCAAAATTTGTATTGTACATATAAAGCAAAGAGAGGAATGGCAAAAATAAGAAGTTTAAAAAATTTGTAATAAAAATGCTGTGAATCGCTTTGTTATATTTTCTAGGGATGGCTGAATGTTGTCTACATGTTAGGGATAACATTAATATTTCATGTTATACCCATATGAAAATGTTCTTGAAGCCTTCCATCTCGCCATGAGTGCAGCACAAAGTCCAATCACCAGTGCAGTGCAGTCGAACAACATGTGGAAACCATCAGATATGAGTCCAAGGCTGTTAGTCCATACACCATACAACAGCTCTACACCTGTGAATGCCTGGAATAGCAGTGATAACCGCAATGTTATATAAGACATCCTTTCCTGATGTCATACAAGAAGAAACGAGTGTCCCCTAAGGACTAAAACTGATAAAAGTACTTCACTTTTAGACCAATAGCAACATGATAAATGGTTGATATTGAGTTACTTCCACAAAACATACAAAAACAGTAGATCATGCTGACCTACTGGAAATTTTAATAGACAACAAACTAGAATTACATAACTTGAAATAGATTCGCTGGAGTGAGCACAGATTTGCTTTCTAAGTTGCAGTACATAACAAAGCCAAGGGAACTGGAGCAGTAACTGAAGAGTGATAGAGAATTCTTACACAATCTAAACACTAGGATTCAAAACTTTTGCATTAGCCATTTCTTACTGACCAAACAATGAATATCCCACAAATTTAACTCCAATATAAGCCATAATTTTTCAGCTAACAGAAGAAAGAACTGGGCCAAAACTGATTATTGGCTGATAGGTAGAATTTTTGCTTACCAGATTGAGGCAGAGAAAATAGAAGATCTGCCTTGATTCTGACTGTTCTACAATCTGCCGCAGCAGACTCTGCACAGTGTTTAGTACAGACTGAGGAGTCTGGTAGTTGTAGATTGGAAGGCCGCCTGTGGTATAACCGATAAGATTTCCTTTGGTCATACGCAGCGAAGGTCTGGATAGTAATCTTGTGGCTGAAACATAAATGTTCAAATTTAACAATAATCCAGTAAATGGAAAGGGCTACAGGAGTAACAGCTAGTTTATGCACTAAGTTCAATAAATACAATAAAACTTAACCATTAGAAGCTGTCAGCTCTAGAAACTTATGAAAATATCCCACTTGATGAACCACCCAAACCTAATGTACGGTGTCACCCATAAGTCAAGAGATCACTCCACAAGGAGAATGCCTAAGTGAAGCCATGAAGTCAATATGCTTTGTGTGACATCTGTGTATATGATGCTCCATAGTCATCCATGTTTCACGCCAAAATTCAGGCCATTTGGAGTAGGAAAAGAACTTTGATAGCCAAAACTCATTTACTTTCAGTTAAGTGGGTCATTCCCTCCACCTTTCATTTGCCTGCTGACGGGAGTGAGCTTATATTTGCATCAAACCACTCACCCAGCACAAAGAAGAAAGCTGCAAATAAGGTGCCAGCGGATACAAGATGAGGTTCCGTTGGTTTGCCGTGATGCCATTCATGCATGCTCCATGCCCAGGGCTGATCCCAAAGAAATGATAGAATAACAGCAGATAAAAATGATGCAATGGAACCAACTTTGCCTGTTCTGGTGGATTCAAGTTTGGCCAAACAGAAGGACTCAATGTAAAAGTCAAATATAAAGACAAGAAATACAATAATGGCAAATGGGATTACTGCTTCCGTCCAATCAACATCTGTCGTCTGTATGAACAAACAAAATGTAAAATAAAATTAGTTCTCATAAGTAGGTTGAGTATGATTGTCCGGGTGAACATAAGTCCTGAATAGGACTGTTATTGTTGACAGTGACTGACGTTTCAACAACCTGGCAGTAGTCATCTAAAGAGTGTAAATTAGCTGTGCTATTATCATCAATTACGACAATGGTTCCTCCCCTTGAAAACCACATTTTTCCATTCCTTTTTCTCATTTATTCACTTAGATTCTCTCACTGAATACCTGCTGGAAAATTAGAGGACACCTATCAAATAGTACACTGCCCCTATAAAGCTTTCATGGTATAACGGTAAAAGCAAGGAAAAGAATGCAGGTCTCCCAGTGGTTTGTGTACTGCAAGAAGAAGAAACAAAGGATAATAAATAAATACCTGGGTAAAATATGATAACAGGGCTAAAGGCAGAAGAATCACTGAAGATAAACAACTGGAAAGAGCTGCAAGTCGTTTTCCACCTAGCAATCAAAAGAACAAGCATTCAACAGAAATACAGTATTCCTGGTGATAAAAAATTGCAAGGACAGCTGATCCCATACTACCTATCGTATGCCACACTCCCCATGGCTCACCTCCAATTTCCACTGCTAGTGTTCTTGAAATATTCTTATGTGCAATTTTACACAACAGTACCAACAGAAGAAGAATAAGTCCACCCTTTGCAAAGAAATTAAAAAAATGATTATTCAAATACAGACCACTATGCACTAGTTCGACATGATGCGATATTACATGCTTTAAAGAACCACTTACCTTGTGATCTGGTAAACCAAGCCTAGATAATGCTATGTAATAATAATGAACCCACTGACTGTGATGTTGACCTTCCGCTGTGGGCAAGTTAAGGAAAGAGTTTCTTTACTATACACAGACTTTGATGTTTCCTGACCTGCATTATGGTATGAAAAATGTTACATTTCAAAGGAATACAGTCGATGTAAAGTGGTAGTTACAACAAAGGCTTTACTTAAGCAAAAAATATAATTTTATAAGGATACGGTGACTCAGACTGCGAGCATCATTATCAAACAGAAGAAGACACAACATTCCAATAAGAAGAAGCACTGATCCTCTGACCTAAAAAAGGCAAAAAACAACATTTCTAAATCAATCAATCAATCAATCATTTATTTGACACCTTACGTCAAGGAGCCAGAAAACTCGTTCAAAATATGAACGTGTAATATATTAGACATAGAACATTAAATTGAAGGAGTACAAGTGTTACATTGCATGAACTTTTTAAGTACTGCAGTTTGAGGATAAGTGAAAGTAAATCCAAAACCATTGGCTGGTCTTAGTTTTGTCTTAAATTGGTACATATCCGCATGTCATCATCATGCTTATGTCAGCATTTGAGGGGTATTATTATTACTTACATTATATATTACATTATAATAATCCCCCTCAAATGCTGACATAAGCATGATGATCACATGCAGATGTACCAAGACAAAACTAAGACCAGCTAATGGTTTTGGATTTACTTTCTCTTATCCTCAAACTGCAGTACTTAAAAAGTTCATGCAATGTAACACTGATCTTGTACTCCTTCATATGTTCTATGTCTAAATGTAACACTGCACTGTAATGACTCATAGATGTTAAAAATAAGAAATGTCTTCTAAAAACCAAACAATATAAATACCTTTGATGGGCCAGTACCATTTGAATGGAAGAGCACTCCTAATGCAGCTAACACAACTACATCACTATGCTCAAATAATAAAACTGTTCTGTGCGGAGAAAAAAGGAGTGTTAACAGTGGGAAATTTTAGATTACCAGATTTTAATTTTATCAAGGGGAATTTATAATAGGAAAAAAGGGTGTATGGTTGTCTATATTTACAGAGCTTTTCAACATGTTTTTTTAGTTTTTGCATAATAGTTTTAAAATATTTTTGCAAGACCCCATGAGCTGAAGAGTTTTTATTTTTATTTGTGCCAAAATATAGGCTATCTGTCTGTCTACAGGTATAATTTAATGATGAGGACTAAATATGTTATTGCTCAAATATTTTTACCTTAACGCCCCACAGAGAGAAAGACCTTCAAGCCAAATTAAACTTATTACAGTTGATGCTATAGCATGCTTTCCTATCTTGTACCACTGAAAATTAACATAAAAAATATACATTTTAGCAGTAGATTTGCAGAATTTTAATGAAAGCAATATGCACGAAATGCATAAGAACTATGACAAGTTTACCTGATTAGGAGTTATTTTCTTTCCTGATGAGACAGGCCTTTGTAATATTACTAGGATAACAGTTGAGCTGTGAACAGGCAAAAAACACAAATTAAAGTCACCTTAATAGGTGGTACAAATGTGAAGGCCACATTTCTACACATCCTCATGACACAAGTTTCTCGTTTGACTTGGATTTGAACAGAAGAAAGGAGACAGACGAAAAATCACAGACTTGAAATATTACAAGAACAGAGCATCACTACACAGTTTTGAACACTATTGCTCATCAGCACTTTTTAGGAGAACAGGCTAGTAATAACTCTGTCACAACTTCATAAATATATCAATATGGGCTTTTTTCCCTAAAAACATCTATACCCAAATAGTTGCTTTAATCTGCAAAATGAAGGTTGAGTAAAAATAATTTATTAATTAACTGAATAATAATAATGCATGTTGCATTGTGATAGAATAAATTAAGTTGATCTGGGAAGAACATACCAAAGCCTGACAATAAATAAGAACTGTACAACATGGAAAACTTTAAGCTGCTCATAAGTCACAAATAATCCAAAGGTATGAAGAAACTTAGCAACAACCAGTGCTATCACATATGGTGTGGTCCTGTTAAAAATAAAGATTGAAAGAAAAATAACTAGCTGATTCTCTAAATCTCCTTCACTGAAATTTTTTGAAAATATGTGAATGTCATTCTTTGTATGCATTATAAGATGTTTAATAATGGTCTGACCCCACAATAAAAACAGAAAAATGTGGCAATAAAACCCGCTTTGGGGATTTTTTGGGTCACCATGACTGGTCACTTATGCATTGCCTACAATTCACCATGTTTCTTCCCCCCCCCTCCCCCCGCCCAAACTTTCCATAACCATTGTTTCCAATTCCTCCTGGGTACTATTCCAGTCACCCCAAAAGAAATTGAAACAATGCTTACAAGTGTAACATTTGGGGAGCAAACAGGGAGTATATTAGCACTGTCAAAGCAGCAAATGGTCCACTTCTAAAAAATGCATATAAGCCACAGCTGCAGAGTGAAACATCGCAATTGTGTCTGAAGCCAGTGAAGGTGTACTTTGTACGGTTAATACAATTCTGTCTGTTCTTATTTGGGACAGTCACCGTTGATTAACTCAAGGCATATACGTAAGCATCAGCCTATAAAAGACAATTTAAAAAATTACGCATGCCACAACACCCACTTCCCTAAGGATACCTAAAAATCACCACGATTTTATAAACGATTCATCAAAAGCTTAATAATCAGTGAATAATTCGGAACAAATAATAGACCCCACACCTGCTCAGAAGTAAATATTTAGACGATAGCATTTTTGACGGTGCATATTTGCATGTATATTGAAGAATCAAGTCACACTTGGTTTGAAAAGAATACTTAGCTTCTTTTACAGCAATCTCAGTAATCGAAATCAAAATGTTGGCACCATTAATAAAGAAAACTAAAATTGTTGTAAAATAAATATAAACCTAAGCTTAAGTCTTCGATAACGGAAGAATATAAAGCTGATTAATAGGCCCACTGAGAGCGAAAATGGCGAAAAATAGTTGACAATAGCGTAGATAAATGCGTGTTATAAGGCTTGAACTCACGTTGTGTGTTGACCGATCGGTCCAAGCTGTCGTTTGTTAAAAAGTAAATGATCAGAATACATCTCTACGTCCTCCATCTTGAAATCGAAGCATGAGCTGGCAAACGATAGGTAGCAGCCGCTGACAAAAAAATGGTCAACCTTATTGCCATTCGACCCTGGGAACGAGGAAAGAAATCGTTCATCAACTTGTTACCTTAGCAAACTGAGTAATTTTAATTTTCAGTGGACAAAAACCTTGTACCAGAATAATTTAAAGCAAACTGCATTTTTTGAAATTTTTTAAGTAAAGATGTAATTAGTCATCTGTAATAACACCAAAGAAAATTTCTCATGGGAGCCCGAGACAATGTAAAAACTTCACAAAATTACATCTTACATATGAAATTTTCAGAATTTTACCTGTATTTTCACAATTCTTGTAAAATTTTACAATCATTTTCTCGGACTCCCATGAGAAATTTTCTTTGCTGTTATTACAGATGACTAATTACATCTTTAGCCCTTGGAAAATATAAAAAGAATGCAATACACATGCGAATTGTTTAAATTATTCTGGCACAAGGTTTTTGTCCACCGAACTTAAAATTTGTCAATTTCCTGGTGGATTCCGTCTTAAAGTAATTTCGCCTTATAACAAAAATGTGATGGGAAAGATTTCCGCTCAATAGCTTCAACGTCGGTGGTCCATCACATCGAGAAGATGGGTAAATTGTGAGGGAAACGTTTGGAATATGTGAGGATTGTACATTATTGTTCAAGAAAACTCTTTGGAATCAACTGTACAGTTTGATAGGTTTATTAAAAGGGCAAGGGATGATGGAGTCGAAAGGCGTGGAGAGGGAAGAATTAGATTTGCTACAACTTCTTTTTCAATCAGGTGCGGACACTTCAGAACCTTTCAACAATGAGCTAAAGAAGGCTTCAAAAATACAAGACATTTTTCCTATGCTGCAGTAAGACAGCAATGATTTCACGCCCGAAAAACGGTTGGTCTTGAAAAACTTCTCCGAAATGACAGTTATTATTATTTCCCAAATGATATTCTTCGTGAGCTCTTTTGGTTGTGGAAAAAACCTTTAAATGCGACCCCCCAAAGAAATCCTATCAAAATACCACAAGCTACCACAGGTATTTTTAAGACCCAAAAAAAAACTTTAAAAATAAAACAGCCAGTAGGATTTCATGATGTTTGTTATTTGCCCCCAAACAGGTGCTCTTTTAGCCTATTTTTGTCTCGTTAAAAGCATTTTTTCTCAACTAAGGGTACAGCTGGCTTACCGACAATCTCTCTATCAGAGTGTTATCAGTGTCGTACAACAGACTGCGTGAGAAATTTGTACGCTGAAATTCAACAGTAAGAAATTTTGTTATGTCTGAGGCCCGATCAAGTCAGTTTTTATAGCTCATGTTTGTATTGTTGTGGCACCCGTCCTCTTCGTTTTTAGGTTTGTTATTTTCAGTTTAGGGACAAATTAAATATGGAAAAATACTGAAGGGATGTGGTTTGGTTTTAGTTCTCCCACCTCTGTGATAAACTGGCTAAGAAGCAAAAATTCATTAAAAAGACGGTGTTGTGCGTCAATGCAAATGGATTGGCCGGGTCTCAAAAATCAGCTGTTTCTACAAATTTCATGATTCAATTCGAGAGTGAAATTGGCCAGTCCCACAAAATTCTGAAAAAATGAAACTTCTTTTCTAAACCCTCCATCAAAGCATGCCACTAGAGTACCCTCCAAATACGATTATCCATTATTTTCTTCCCTTTTCACCTTTTTCTGTTATTTCCATTCTCAATAAGCCTACAACATGATTGTTCAGCTGAACATGGCTCCATATGGCTTTTCCCTCTTATGACGTCAGTGCTCTGTGATTGGTTCACGGGCGATAAAGATCAATTGATAATAACAGTCAATGACAGGTGCCATTTGCAGGAAAGATGACCTTCGCAACCAGCCAAACATCCGTTGACGTTAATAATAAATAGCCAAAGCTCTCGGATTTTTCCTTCCACTCTACATCAGATTTTCTCCACGAAAAAGTTGGGAGCGATGCGATGTTTCGAGTTGTACGGTCTTGGGGCCTCGCCAACGTAATATTATGTGTTCTTTTAACAGCGTGGCCCCCAAAGACAAATGGATATACCCTACCGCTTGATAAAAACGCCGGAAAAGTCTTCACCAACGGATGGGCGATAAAGGTGGAGGGCGGTATTGAAAGCGCCAAAAGAATCGCAAGATCTCATGGATTTGACAAAGTTGAACCGGTGAGTGCTAGGTAGAGAATCGGGGTCGTAATGATTTTTGCCCAGCATGTTTTGAAGGGCTGACAAGTACTTGCCGGTCTTATTTGATATAGAATTCCATTATTATGTTTTCTTTACCCTGCCTAGCTTAAACACTGGCCACCCGGCAGGTCAGACAAATACTCGGTCAATAAATCTCGTTATTCCCTAGTCGTGTTTTTTGATTTGTTATAAAATAAATCCCATTTTTTCAAGAGTTGAAAGCAATAAATTCATACTTTGTGCCTTTTATACGAAAAAACTGTCTACTTTCTTGGATAAATTATCAAGGGATTTTTGATGCGATATTACATGCTTTAAAGAACCACTTACCTTGTGATCTGGTAAACCAAGCCTAGATAATGCTATGTAATAATAATGAACCCACTGACTGTGATGTTGACCTTCCGCTGTGGGCAAGTTAAGGAAAAAGTTTCTTTACTATACACAGACTTTGATGTTTCCTGACCTGCATTATGGTATGAAAAATGTTACATTTCAATGGAATACAGTACGATGTAAAGTGGTAGTTACAACAAAGGCTTTACTTAAGCAAAAAATATAATTTTATAAGGATACGGTGACTCAGACTGCGGGCATCATTATCAAACAGAAGAAGACACAACATTCCAATAAGAAGAAGCACTGATCCTCTGACCTAAAAAAGGCAAAAAACAACATTTCTAAATCAATCAATGAATCATTTATTTGACACCTTACGTCAAGGAGCCAGAAAACTCGTTCAAAATATGAACGTGTAAGTAATATATTAGACACAGAACATTAAATTGAAGGAGTACAAGTGTTACATTGCATGAACTTTTTAAGTACTGCAGTTTGAGGATAAGAGAAAGTAAATCCAAAACCATTGGTCTTAGTTTTGTCTTCAATTGGTACACCTGCAGGTCATCATCATGCTTATGTCAGCATTTGAGGGGTATCATTATTACTTACATTATATATTACATTATAATAATCCTCCTCAAATGCTGACATAAGCATGATGATCACATGCAGATGTACCAAGACAAAACTAAGACCAGCTAATGGTTTTGGATTTACTTTCTCTTATCCTCAAACTGTAGTACTTAAAAAGTTCATGCAATGTAACACTAATCTTGTACTCCTTCAAATGTTCTATGTCTAAATGTAACACTGCACTGTAATGACTCATAGATGTTAAAACTAAGAAATGTCTTCTAAAAAACCAAACAATATAAATACCTTTGATGGGCCAGTACCATTTGAATGGAAGAGCACTCCTAATGCAGCTAACACAACTACATCACTATGCTCAAATAATAAAACTGTTCTGTGTGGAGAAAAAAGGAGTGTTAACAGTGGGAAATTTTAGATTACCAGATTTTAATTTTATCAAGGGGAATTTATAATAGGAAAAAAGGGTGTATGGTTGTCTATATTTACAGAGCTTTTCAACGTGTTTTTTTAGTTTTTGCATAATAGTTTTAAAATATTTTTGCAAGACCCCATGAGCTGAAGAGTTTTTATTTTTATTTGTGCCAAAATATAGGCTATCTGTCTGTCTACAGGTATAATTTAATGATGAGGACTAAATATGTTATTGCTCAAATATTTTTACCTTAATGCCCCACAGAGAGAAAGACCTTCAAGCCAAATTAAACTTATTACAGTTGATGCTATAGCATGCTTTCCTATCTTGTACCACTGAAAATTAACATAAAAAATATACATTTTAGCAGTAGATTTGCAGAATTTTAATGAAAGCAATATGCACAAAATGCATAAGAACTATGACAAGTTTACCTGATTAGGAGTTATTTTCTTTCCTGATGAGACAGGCCTTTGTAATATTACTAGGATAACAGTTGAGCTGTGAACAGGCAAAAAACACAAATTAAAGTCACCTTAATAGGTGGTACAAATGTGAAGGCCACATTTCTACACATCCTCATGACACAAGTTTCTCGTTTGACTTGGATTTGAACAGAAGAAAGGAGATAGATGAAGAATCTCAGACCCAAAATAATTTATTACAAGAACAGACCATCACGTTACAGTATTGATCACTATTGCTCATCAGCACTTTTCAGGAGACAGGCTAAGTAATAACTCTGTCACAACTTCATAAATATATCAATCTGGGCTTTTTTTTTCCTAAAAACATCTTTCCCAAATAGTTGCTTTAATCGGCAAAATGAAGGTTGAGTAATAATAATTTATTAATGAACTGAATAATAATAATGCATGTCACATTGTGATAGAATGAAGTTGATCTGGGTAAAACATACCAAAGCCTGACAATAAATAAGAACTGTACAACATGGAAAACTTTAAGCTGCTCATAAGTCACAAATAATCCAAAGGTATGAAGAAACTTAGCAACAACCAGTGCTATCACATATGGTGTGGTCCTGTTAAAAATAAAGATTGAAAGAAAAATAACTAGCTGTTTCTCTAAATCTCCTTCACTGAAACTCTCTGAAAATATGTGAATGTCATTCTTTGTATGCATATAAGATGTTTAATAATATTCTGACCCCACAATAAAAACAGAAAAATGTGGCAATAAAACCCGCTTTGGGGATTTTTTGGGTCCCCATGACTGGTCACTTATGCATTAACTACAATTCATCATGTTTCATCCCCCAACCCCCCCAACCCAAACTTTCCATAAACATTGTTTCCAATTCCTCCCGGGTACTATTCCAGTCACCCCAAAAGAAATTGAAAAAATGCTTACAAGTGTAACATTTGGAGAGCAAACAGGGAGTACATTAGCACTGTCAAAGCAGCAAATGGTCCATTTCTAAAAAATGCATATAAGCCACAGCTGCTGAGTAAAACATTGCAATTGTGTCTGAAGCCAGTGAAGGTGCACTTTGTACGGTTAATACAATTCTGTCTGTTCTTATTTGGGACAGGCAACGTTTATCAACTCAAGGCACATACGCTAGCATCAGCCTATAAAAAAAAATTTCAAAAATAACGCCTGCCACAACACCCACTTCCCTAAGGATACCTAAAAATCACCACGATTTTATAAAAGATTCATCAAAAGCTTAATAATCAGTGAATAATTCAGAACAAATCATAGACCCCACACCTGCTCAGACGTAAATATTTAGACGATAGCATTTTTGACGGTGCATATTTGCATGTATATTGAAGAATCAAGTTACACTTGGTTTGAAAAGAATACTTAGCTTCTTTCACAGCAATCTCAGTGATCGGAATCAAAATGTTGGCACCATTTATAAAGAAAACTAAAATTGTTGTAAAATAAATATAAACCTAAACTTAAGTCTTCGATAACGGAAGAATATAAAGCTGATTAATAGGCCCACTGAGAGCGAAAATGGCGAAAAATAGTTGAGAATGACGTAGATAAATGCGTGTTATAAGGCTTGAACTCACGTTGTGTGTTGACCGATCGGTCCAAGCTGTCGTTTGTTAAAAAGTAAATGATCAGAATACATCTCTACGTCCTCCATCTTGAAATCGAAGCATGAGCTGGCAAACGATAGGTAGCAGCCGCTGACAAAAAAATGGTCAACCTCGTTGCCATTCGACCCTGGGAACGAGGAACTTGTTACCTTAGCAAATTGAGTAATTTTAATTTTCAGTGGACAAAAACCTTGCACCAGAATAATTTAAAGCATACTGCATTTTTTTTTTAATTTTTTAAGTAAAGATGTAATTAGTCATTTGTAATAACACCAAAGAAAATTTCTCATGGGAGCCCGAGACAATGAATGTTAAACTTCACAAAATTACATCTTACAAATGAAATTTTCAGAATTTTACCTGTATTTTCACAATTCTTGCGAAATTTAACATTCATTTTCTCGGACTCCCATGAGAAATTTTCTTTGCTGTTATTACAGATGACTAATTACATCTTTAGCCCTTGGAAAATGTAAAAAAGAATGCAATATGCGTATTCTTTAAATTATTCTGGTACAAGGTTTTTGTCCATCGAACTTAAAATTTCTCAATTTCCTGGTGGATTCCGTCTTAAAGTAATTTCGCCTTATAACAAAAATGTGATGGGAAAGATTTCCGCTCAATAGCTTCAACGTCGGTGGTCCATCACATCGAGAAGATCGGTAAATTGTGAGGGAAACGTTTGGAATATGTGAGGATTGTACATTATTGTTCAAGAAAACTCTTTGGAATCAACTGTACAGTTTGATAGGTTTATTAAAAGGGCAAGGGATGATGGAGTCGAAAGGCGTGGAGAGGGAAGAATTAGATTTGCTACAACTTCTTTTTCAATCAGGTGCGGACACTTAAGAACCTTTCAACATTGAGCTAAAGAAGGCTTCAAAAATACAAGACATTTTTCCTATGCTGCAGTAAGACAGCAATGATTTCACGCCCGAAAAACGGTTGGTCTTGAAAAACTTCTCCGAATTGACGGTTATTATTATTTCCCAAATGATATTCTTCGTGAGCTCTTTTGGTTGTGGAGAAAACATTCAAATGCAACCCCCCAAAGAAATCCTATCAAAATACCACAAGCTACCACAGGTATTTTTAAGACCCAAAAAAAAACTTTAAAAATAAAAGAGCCAGTAGGATTTCACGATGTTTGTTATTTGCCCCCAAACAGGTGCTCTTTTAGCCTATTTTTGTCTCGTTAAAAGCATTTTTTCTCAACTAAGGGTACAGCTGGCTTACCGACAATCTTTCTATCAGAGTGTTATCAGTGTCGTACAACAGACGACGTGAGAAATTTGTACGCTGAAATTCAACAGTAAGAAATTTTGTTATGTCTGAGGCCCAGTCAAGTCAGTTTTTATAGCTCATGTTTGTATTGTTGTGGAACCCGTCCTCTTCGTTTTTAGGTTTGTTATTTTCAGTTTAGGGACAAATTAAATATGGAAAAATACTGAAGGGATGTGGTTTGGTTTTAGTTCTCCCACCTTTGTGATAAACTGGCTAAGAAGCAAAAATTCATTAAAAAGACGGTGTTGTGCGTCAATGCAAATGGATTGGCCGGGTCTCAAAAATCAGCTGTTTCTACAAATTTCATGATTCAATTCGAGAGTGAAATTGGCCAGTCCCACAAAATTCTGAAAAAATGAAACTTCTTTTCTAAACCCTCCATCAAAACATGCAACTAGAATACCCTCCAAATACGATTATCCATTATTTTCTTCCCTTTTCACCTTTTTCTGTTATTTCCATTCTCAATAAGCCTACAACATGATTGTTCAACTGAACATGGCTCCATATGGCTTTTCCCTCTTATGACGTCAGTGCTCTGTGATTGGTTCTCGGGCGATAAAGATCAATTGATAATAACAGTCAATGACAGGTGCCATTTGCAGGAAAGATGACCTTCGCAACCAGCCAAACATCCGTTGACGTTAATAATAAATAGCCAAAGCTCTCAGATTTTTCCTTCCACTCTACATCAGATTTTCTCCACGAAAAAGTTGGGAGCGATGCGATGTTTCGAGTTGTACGGTCTTGGGGCCTCGCCAACGTAATATTATGTGTTCTTTTAACAGCGTGGCCCCTAAAGACAAATGGATATACCCTACCGCTTGATAAAAACGCCGGAAAAGTCTTCACCAACGGATGGGCGATAAAGGTGGAGGGCGGTATTGAAATTGCCAAAAGAATCGCAAGATCTCATGGATTTGACAAAGTTGAACCGGTGAGTGCTAGGTAGAGAATCGGGGTCGTAATGATTTTTGCCCAGCATGTTTTGAAGGGCTGACAAGTACTTGCCGGTCTTATTTGATATAGAATTCCATTATTATGTTTTCTTTACCCTGCCTAGCTTAAACACTGGCCACCCGGCAGGTCAGACAAATACTCGGTCAATAAATCTCGTTATTCCCTAGTCGTGTTTTTTGATTTGTTATAAAATAAATCCCATTTTTTCAAGAGTTGAAAGCAATAAATTCATACTTTGTGCCTTTTATACGAAAAAACTGTCTACTTTCTTGGATAAATTATCAAGGGATTTTGGGTTGCCACAAGTTTACTGGTAATAAACGTTGTGAGCTGGTTGATTGGGACATGATGTTTCCAAGGGTGGAAACCAATAACGCCACATGTCGAAATAAAGGCCCAAGTGTATACTCTCAGTTCAGTAAGTGGAAATAACTTTGCAGGCCATCAATGTAACACGAAATCTGTACTGGGAAGAGAGAATCAGTTTTCTTCCCTCGGATTTAATAAGCTTTTTTATTCGGTGACTTCATTACGGTTGTCCGACAGTTCTTCAATGTTGTCACTCGTTCAGTGACGGCAAGGCGTTGTTGACAGGTTTAAAAACTCACAATTTTAGAGTTCCAGATTCCACTTGTAAGTTAAAAAATTTTTTTGCATGCGAATTTTCCTTTGAAAATTAATGGGAATTTTTAATTGACTTTGTTTCGCGATACATCAATCTTGTCATGTCATATGTGTTAACATTGAGCAAAGACAGGTTATTTACCCACTAAACGAGGAAAAATGCTTGAAATAAACTAAAATTGATTCAAAAACCTCACTCAGATTTGAACTGACTGCTTTTTCATGCTTTTAGGATAAACATATTTTTAAAGTTGTTCTGATGTTTTGATGAACATGAAGGCATTTGAAGTTATACAATGGTAGAAAGATTGTTCTCCAGCCGTTCAACAATACATATTGAAAACGTTACATGAACAAAAAAAAACAAGCATTGTAGTATTCTCCAACAAACTAAGATCATGGATATGGAAGATTGATAGCGCTTATTTGAAATTTTTTGTGCGTTCTGATTGACATATGACCTAGAAGAGACGCCTCCGGCGTACATTTGATTTTCTTTTAGTACCATTGCCGGCTTGCAGTGACTTCAGTGACAGTACTATACTGGTGTATATGTGTTAGGTAGACAGATCATCGCATAGAGACCTGCAGGGTTGTCTTACAGGAAAGATAATGAAGTTGTACCATAGCAAAGTATAATTGCTTGGTTTAGCAACAGTTTATTGAAAATAAATCCTAGTCGTGTTTTTTGATTTGTTATAAAATAAATCCCATTTTTTCAAGAGTTGAAAGCAATAAATTCATACTTTGTGCCTTTTATACGAAAAAACTGTCTACTTTCTTGGATAAATTATCAAGGGATTTTTGGTTGCCACAAGTTTACTGGTAATAAACGTTGTGAGCTGGTTGATTGGGACATGACGTTTCCAAGGGTGGAAACCAATAACGCCACATGTCGAAATAAAAGCCAAGTGTATACTCTCAGTTCAGTAAGTGGAAATAACTTTGCAGGCCATCGATGTAACACGAAATCTGTACTGGGAAGAGAGAATCAGTTTTCTTCCCTCGGATTTAATAAGCTTTTTTATTCGGTGACTTCATTGCGGTTGTCCGACAGTTTTTCAATGTTGTCACTCGTTCAGAGACGCCAAGGCGTTGTTGACAGGTTTAAAAACTCACAATTTTAGAGTTTCAGATTCCACTTGTAAGGTAAAAAATTTTTTTGCATGCCAATTTTCCTTTGAAAATTAATGGGAATTTTTAATTGACTTTGTTTCGCGATACATCAATCTTGTCATGTCATATGTGTTAACATTGAGCAAAGACAGGTTAATTACCCACTAAACCAGGAAAAATGCTTGAAATAAACTAAAAGTGATTCAAAAACCTCACTCAGATTTGAACTGACTGCTTTTTCATGCTTTTAAGATAAACATATTTTTAAAGTTGTTCTGAAAACACAAAAACGTTTGGTTGTTGTGGAGATTTGATGAACATGCAGGCATTTGAAGTTATACAATGGTAGAAAGGTTGTTCTCCAGCCGTTCAACAATACATGTAGAAAACGTTACATGAACAAAAAAAAACAAGCATTGTAGTATTCTCCAACAAACTAAGATCATGGATATGGAAGATTGATAGCGCTTATTTGAAATTTTTTGTGCGTTTCTGATTGACATATGACCTAGAAGAGACGCCTCCCGCGTACATTTGATTTTCTTTTAGTACCATTGCCGGCTTGCAGTGACTTCAGTGACAGTACTATACTGGTGTATATGTGTTAGGTAGACAGATCATCGCATAGAGACCTGCAGGTCTTACAGGAAAGACAATGAAGTTGTATCATAGCAAAGTATAATTGCTTGGTTTAGCAACAGTTTATTGAAAATAAATAAATGGTATGTTTATGGAAACTTATGTAGCCAGGCAATTTTATGCGTCAGTCGTATTTTACCAAAAACCTGGTAGGTGATAGAAATTAAAACAGATATCTTTATTTCTGAATATGCAGATTGGTACCTTGGACAATTTTTTCCACTTGGTGCATTCTGAAGAGCCACATCGCTCAAGACGGAGTGCAGATGAGCGGACTCAGTTGTTGATAGAAGATCCTCAAGTACTTACTTAGTATTTAACACTTTTTAGTTCTACTATGTTTTCACCAAAAATTTTCCTTATTCGAGCGAGCTTGCCCACTCGACGAGGCGGGTGTTTACACAGGCCCCCTAGAACGAAGAATCGCTTGAAAAACAGCTATCGTGAAATTAACTAACTCTTTTGCTATTCTTTAATTATACTTCTTTTCCCTGAGATGAGAAGATTTGAGAACTTAAAATGACCGTGATGTTTTTTAACTTGTTTTAGTTTTCTAAACTTTTATAATTATCAATGTCAGTTTGTATAATAATAATAATAATAATAATAACCTTTCTAATGCAGGTTATGTGGGCGGAACAACAACATGAGAAAATCCGCGTGAAGAGAGGCCACTTCCATGACCGAATGACAGCGAGGGGAATTGTTCCTCGTTTTAATGATCCTCTCTGGGACGGTCAGTGGTATCTGGTAAGGTGGTTGAACATTTTTTTCTGTCTGGAAACTTCATGTCTCACAATACTTGATACGCTGATTGTGTACTCTTTTTTAACTGGAGCTTCCCTCTTTTAAGCATGTTTGAGGGGGCATCACTATCAAATTAAGTCGTTAATGGGTTTGGTATATCTTACAATCTTGATGTAACAGATCTCTGTGTTCATATTTATTTTGTAATTACGAGTTCTTTACGTATCCATGAAACAATAAGCAAATTGAAATTGAACTGATTTTAATTTGTTTCTTCGCCAAACTAATTTGTAACTTACATCACCCAACCACAAAATTACTGAAAAGATTGACAGATCTGTAAGTACAGAGAAGCGTTTGAAGGTCTTCAATTAATAAACTCGCAGTTCAACGTGTTTTATCATTTCTAAAAACATTAAGTTACGTGTTGGTGTTTTTAAACTTGATTGTTAAACAGTTGATAATACTTTTATATTTTAACCTATAAACATTCCTTTCATAAACTCAGTACCTTTCGAAGTCGAGTTAAAATATTCGATGTGTTTTTACACAGGATGATAAGCGTGCAGATCAAGATCTTGACATACACGTGCTTCCTGTCTGGAACCAAGACATCACCGGAAAGGGTGTGGTCGTTACCATTCTGGATGATGGTAGGTTACCAAGCTGACCAGTTACGAGAGGCTGCTATGGCATCCTCATGTTTTAAGTTGCGCTTCACGGCATTTGGCGGTATAATTAGTCGTTAATGTTCATTTCCACACTTTTGTTTGAATCACTTTTCAATTAGAAGTGACTGGTTCACGGCATTGCCGAAGGAAATCAACACTGTAGTAAGTCATCACTAAACAGATTCATGTACTGTCCTGATCAATAATCTAAACTAATTACTTTCCTCTTCGTTATATCAAAAGGGATTGAGCACAACCATACGGATCTCATCCGAAATTACGTAAGTAGAAATTAGTCTTACTTTGATATTAAAACTTTAGAAGATATGATCAGTAAAGTGAATTCATTTTCACAGGATCCTGATGCGAGTTGGGACGTAAATGGTGAGGATGGGGATCCATTTCCTCGCTATGATCCAACAAACGAAAATAAGTAAGTCTATTAGAAGGCAGAAAATTATAACATATTCCAGCACTGATAGATATACATCATGGATTAATTGAGGCAGTCAAGCCGTTCTTGTTCCTTTGCGTCAGAACGCTTGCAAATTTAGAAGCAAATTGGTGAATGCCGGGTCCTTTAGTCAGCCTTACCATGGGCTTCTGCCCTTTCTTCAAGTACTTCTTAATTTCATCGTAATTAAACAGTCTTTCGTTAATCAATAGCTCACGTACTTCCTAAATGCATCCGAAGTGCAACTAACTAGCACTAGTGAAATTCCTGTAACTTGGACGAAATCCTGTTAATTGACTTCTTGGCTGCTGGACTACGATTTTCTTTGGGGAGAAACCACGCGTAAAGTGCAGCGTTTTGAGTCGTCAATACCACCGAAGTCATGCAGTCATTGTTTTTCACAGTGTGACCGTTGTTACCTCTGTTTTATAGGCATGGTACCCGCTGTGCGGGAGAAGTTGCAGCTCAAGCGAACAATTCAGTGTGCGGAGTGGGTGTGGCCTACAATGCAAAGATAGGAGGTGATATATTCTCGCATACGAATCAACTCGGTAGATAGTGACTGGGAATCTACTTGGCAAGTGAAATTAGAGAATAAAAGAGAAACCTAGCATACCTCTAAGAATATGAATGATCGGGAACTATCTTTACAGCTACATGAGTGACATGGTTAAACTCTTTGGGAAAACAATTTTGAGATCTTTAGGAAGTGATTTGTAAGTCACTGCGACAAAAGCAAAATTTTAGCGAGTAACTTCGCCAACAGGCCGCCTGGTCTTTGTTTTGAAATCAGGAAAAGGTTGCTGGGTATTCTTTGGGTTTATTTAGATTCTTTTTAAACGTTATTTTGCGTTTAACCATTAATTCCTGGTCGGGAATTCGAGAAGGATTTATTATCAGATATAATACTTCCATTGGTCAATTTCGTCATTTCAACTAACCGTTTTTACGCAGGAGTACGTATGCTCGACGGACGTGTGACTGATAAAGTGGAAGCTGCCTCATTGAGCCTCAATCCTCAGTTCATCGATATCTATTCTGCCAGTTGGGGGCCTAGTGACGACGGAGCCACGGTCGAGGGACCTGGGACTTTGGCTGCTGCTGCGTTTGAAAATGGCATCACGAAGGTACTGCTTGCACTGAACTTTATCATGCACAGACATCCCAAGCTTTCTGTTACTGTACCTATTACGCTTATTAAGACAAAAGCCTTTAAACAGATTTGGTCGGGCGTCAAACCTTTAATTCTTTACTTCTTTGGAATGATTTTTAATTTAATAAACGGGCAGGAAAAATAAGGACCCATCTAGCATCTCATGACGGCTTTCAAAATCTATGCATTGACTGTAACATGGAGGATTAACTAGCCTGTTCCAGATGTTCAGATTGTGGAAGCGAATTAAATTACGAGGGGAAAACGAGGAGAAAAACGGGGGTGGCTGGGGCGAGAGTAGTCTCGCCGCCTTGTTTTTCTTCCACGTCAATTTTTTCGCCCGCGCTCAATTAACTGAACGCCTGGAACAGGCTAAGGTATAATCGGCTTATTTCAGAATTGAAACAGTAGACTTCAAGCAGTAGAATTAATCATTATTCAATAAACAAACCATCAGTCAAAAATGATGCTTATGTCTTTCCTTGTGTTTAAATTTAAAGGGTCGCGGTGGGTTAGGCTCCATATTTGTCTGGGCGTCAGGTAATGGTGGTCGACATGAAGACAGCTGTAACTGTGATGGATATACAGACAGTATTTATACGCTGTCAATAAGTTCCGCTTCTGATCACGGAGAATCACCCTGGTATTCAGAAAGCTGCTCTTCAACTCTGGCTACTACCTTCAGCAGTGGGGCGCACGGAGAAAAAAGAATTGTGAGTTGTCCTGCAATTTTAGATAAATATGTTTATCTTTAAAAAAATGTTAAAATATACATCCTTTAACGCTCTAACTTCTTTTACAAGAAGAAAAAAATCGATAATTTTGCGATATCGCCGGTAGTTTTCTGGTTTCCAGTTGCTCACAACTTAGGAAATCGGTTCAAAGGGTGTTTCTGGCTTTAATCAGGAAAAATGGAAAGACGTTTGAATATGCATGTGCAATTAAAGCTGCTTTTAGAGCTTTTTTTGTCTTTTTAGGTAACAACAGATTTACATAACGTGTGCACTGAAAGACACACGGGAACTTCAGCGTCGGCACCGCTGGCTGCAGGCATCATAGCGCTTGCGTTGGAGGTCAAGTAAGAAGCATGCTTGGTATCACTTTATAAAATCTGTTATAAGTTGCACCCACTGTGCACTTTATGATTGGTTCACTTACGATTCCTGATTTCCATATAAGAAAAAATATAATAGTTCCTGGCTGCCAGAGACTTTTTCATGCCTGGTTTCCGGTTTTCGTCAAGTCTTTAGGATCTGTCGAAACATCCTGCCGCTCGCGAGAAAAAAAAAACCCTCTGGTGCCCAAGGTAACTGATCACCTCAGTTGTCTGAAAATGTGTTCAAGCGATCGAAATGATCATGGACGTCACGTGGAACCCCTCTAATGTGATGCAGGTTGATTCGAACGATCCGTGGAGTTACCGCAATCGCCTGGTTAAAACTTATGTCTAATATGGGATGGTTATGAGATAACCGGTCGAATAGTCTCGTTCGTTCCAGTCACAAAACAGGAGGCCACCTGGGCCGAGTTGTTCGAAAGATGATCAGCATAAATCCAGGTTTAGTTACCTTGGCAACTCATATGTTCTGTTTGTACGTAATCCAGGATTACAGCTAAGCCTGCTTCGAACAACTATTGGGTTTTAAAAAACTCCTTAAACTCTTAACTTTAAAAGTCATATTTACGACAGTACTGATCTGTAAAGAAGGGTTTAGAAACCTAACTTTGAATAGTGCTACAATACGTCTTCTCCAGCCTACGCTGACTGATTCAAATTTGGGGGGGGGGAAGGGGAACCGCAACCAATTATTAGCGCCGCCCAAGGTCGTTAATTTTATGAGACAGTTACCCACAGTGAAGTATAAAAGAACATAACCATGTTGTAGGATGTATTTAATGTTTTTGCTTGTTTGTTTTACATAGCCCGCGCTTGACATGGCGTGATGTTCAACATATTGTAGTATGGACATCAAACTGGGAACCACTAAAACATGATCAGGACTGGAGCCCTAATGGAGTTGGTCTTCATGTCAACAGAAAGTTCGGCTTTGGTTTGTTAGTTGCAGAAAAGATCGTTGAATTAGCCAAACCTAATACTTTTAAAACCGTTCCGGAAAAGACCATTTGTAGAGGACAAATAAACCAGGATCGCAAGTGAGTTTTCAAATCCTTTGCTTTTTCTTTGCTATTAGAAGCAGTTTCTTCGTACTTGCCAGTGCTTTGTTTGTCAAAATCTGTTCGATACATTTGTATTTTTATCCTCTCTTGATTTTATATAGAATTGTTAGATATTTTCGCGACAAAATAGACAGAAGAGACATGAACATAAAGAAAACCAAACCAAATATAGACAAATGACCAGAAAGCCTCGGAGTAAGTTAGAATTTCATAATATCGAACATAAGCTATTCGGTAAACACATTAAACGAAAAAACACAACCGTAAGGGCGCCTCCTATCTGCTCTAAGAACGAGTTCTTTAATTCGCTTACGGAACAATATATGAATAACCCAAAAAATGTTCTCAAAGGCTAATGAAAATAAAGGTTTCTGGGAGCTCCCTGCCTCCATGGAGCAAATTTATAAGGATCTATGGTATGCTGGGCATTAAGCAACGCTAATCGGAAGAAATTATAACCAGAAATCAGAGCAAAGAATACACTGTCGTTAATTTCTCTCCACAGACCTATTAAATACAACGAGCCTTTGAAGATAACGATGCACTCTAATGGTTGCTCAGGGACTAAGGCCGAGATTCGCTACCTGGAACACGTCCAGCTCTTGCTTAGTTTGGATTACTCTCGACGTGGGGATCTTGTAGCATACCTTACATCTCCTATGGGAACCAAATCCTGCCTGTTGTCCATTAGAAAAGAGGACCTTTCAGATGAGGGCTTCACAAAGTGGCCTTTCATGACTACGCACTCTTGGGGTGAAGATCCCAGAGGTACATGGACACTAGAAATCAAGGATCTCGGTGATAACAGACCAAATCATGGCACTCTTACAGAATGGCAGCTGATTTTACATGGGACTAAAGAGAAACCAAACCATCAAACAATTGCACACCCTGATAAGCCACGTGACTCGGTTCCAGTTCCTGAGACGTCTCCTTCTAGCTCTCCTCAAGTTCCACGCGGACCAACCTACACGTTTGGGTCCATTCCTGTGACACCAGAGAGTCCCGTGAAATATGTAGCACCACAAGTGGTGACATATACTGCTCCTCCTGCTCCAAACCCGGCCGTATTGACTCTTGCTGCACAGTCGTTAGTACAACAGCAAGTTCAGAAACCACAGAGCAATCAATTTGTACCAAATACAAAGCAGACGGTACAAGTTGGAAGAACTTATCCCCAGCAAGCAAACATAGCAGCAGAGTCAGTCTATTCAGCCGTCCAACCTATCCATAGTAATTATATTGTACCTTCAAATTACCACGAAAATCCAATAGCCAACTACTATCATTATACCAATAGCCGAGGATACTTGCCTCAAGTGAGAAACCCTGTGGTACCACAAGCCACTGATCAGCTAGGATTTCACCGAATCAGTTGGAGCGAGGCTGCGGCGGCAGCGTACCGTAGTCGCTTACCATTTAATAATTATGCTAATTATCTACGAACACTGGGAAGGCGGGGGGCGGGAAGGGATATAGAACATTTAAAATCTAAGAAAAACAAGTTGAAAAGAACGTAGCAAGCGTAAAGATTTAGATGGGGTTTTTACGCAATATTCTGTATAAATATTTGGAGTACTGAGTTATCATTACTTTTGGCATTTTTTATCTGTCTGTAAAACTTTCTGCGGGTCACAACCATCGATTGTGACAATGTCCTTGCTGAACTCCAGTATACGTGGAAAAGAACACAAGTGATCGAAAGGAATTTTGGAAGGTTAAGGCATCAACTAATTTCCTTAGTTCAGCTGGCTGGGCAGGAACTTAATACTAAGAGTAAATATTTCATGTAGTAGTTTTTTTTTCGCTGAATTGTTCGTTTCCGATGTTTAGATTGATCATGTCTGACAAAAAGAAATTCCAGCAAAGCCATCATAGAAGATACCCAATTTACAAAACTGTAAAAATGTAAGGCTTTAGAATTGAACTAAGGTCTTCCAGCAAAAACGTTACCCTCATTTCAACAGTTTTTGTATGGCAACCATAGAATATAGTTGGTGTAAACGTGCTTTCTCTTCCTTTTTTGACTAAAGGTTGCAGTTCCATTCAGCCTTCTTATTGGTTAAAACTTGGCTCAAGATGGAAGGAGTTTGTGAATCAGTCAGCAAGTAGAGGGTCAGCTAGAATGTCGACTTTTGTATGCTCTTTATATAGAGTTTCTGATTGGTTTAATTCTACTAAAACCTAGTAGAAATGTATGCTTTTCTAAATCTCTGTACCTTACAGTGTTTATAGAGTTGCCAATAACTTAAAAATAGTGTAAAGTAAGAAAAGCAGTCTTGGAAAATAGGTGAATGACTAAATCAATTTAATGTTTTGTATCAAATCAGAAATGAACGTAGTTGTTAATCTCAGTATCTTGCCACAGAAAACCTATAAAGGTTATCAACATTTCTGACATAAAAAAAGAGAAGTTTAGAAAGGAAATGTTGTTTTGTTCATTAAAAGAAGGCAAAGAACTTTTCCATGCAAAGCACTGGAACCTTTCAAACGGCCACCGTGTTAGACAGTTCATTTTTGTACCAATACATTCAAATTTTCTTAAAATTAAAGGCATCAAAGTAAAAGGCATAGAAAGAGGCGAGAGACTTAGATAAGCTTACCATGACTGGCCTGAAATTAGCCGAAAAATTTCCCTGTAAATATTGATGACCCTCCCAAAATTACCGTGACAAATTCACAGTTCTTGGTAATTTCAAGGAACTACAAATGACAAAATTAATGATAGGACAATATTCCTCGGGGGGTTTTGCTGTAGTAATAGTTCAAAGGGATTTCAAATAAAAAGGGATATTTCTTGTAGAAGTGTGGTTGCTTTAAAAGTTACGTTAGCTCCCTCAGTCTCCTAAGCAACAGTTTTTTCTGTCATATGACACTACTAATTCTTCCACCAGCAGCTAAGGCTTAGGATGTATGAAAAAAATGCATATCGAAATGTTTTTTCTTTGTTGGTTTGGTGAATACAGTAACAATGAGCGCATGTCTTGGGTACTTATGTGTCAAAATTCAGCAAGGGGCAACACATTTAAACTCTGCAGTATGTTCAGTACCTTATGCAAGCACCACTGCCATATCTGCCCTTGTAGTGGCAGCTATGAACAGCTGTTTCGACCATGTTAAGATTCATCAGTATGGCATTCTGTCATGCACATCTTGCACTCTATGCCCACATGCCTGCCTAAAAAATGTGCACAGAAAACTAATGCCTGTTCTGCAGGCTACGGCAATATTTAAACCGTTTCTGCACCTCCCTACTCTCTGTAGGATCTATCGAGAGATTTGCCCTATACAAGTCCCCTTCTTACGTGCCCATTCCTTATCTTGCTTAAATCATTATCTTCATTTACCACAAATTTCTGTGTATTTGCCAAGTTATTCAAATGGCCACCCATACATGTAGCTAGCCAACTTACACATTTTTCAAGGAGGTGGAGCATCTTCTTTCCAACACACCACAATGTTTTTCTCTTCTTTTTTGTTTCATTCTTTTATGCCTGTGCAATTTATGCTGATAATTTATGACGACCACAAAAGGAACATTATTATACACAAAAACACTACATGTATTAACTCTTAACTCTGGTCACTGATACAAAAGCTTTATTTACATCTTTTCTACTGAAAAGAACAAAAGAACTATTGTTGGATGCATGTATAAACAATTTTTTTAGAAAGGTGCCAAAAGTACATTGCTCCTTTTTAAACAACTACCACAACAAACTTTCATCATGGTATCATGCAAGTTTTGCATGCAGCTTTGCCTTCTTGATTTAGAAGCTCTGTGCTTTACAATATCATTTTAGTCCTTTTTTAACTTGAAATGAAAAGAATAAGAAGTTAAAACATCAATGCTAACAAGCCTGTGAAACACAAGCCATTGACATCCATAAGGAACTTCCTTCACACTGTTCTTTGATGACAGGCATAAATCAGCTGTGAAATGATATTACAATTTCTTAGTTCCCGATTTTCAAAAAGTATTCCAATGGCCACGATGTTTTAATTTCACAACCCAGCTGTGTTCTTTCTCTGATTATCTTCTTCCCCTTCCTCGCCCTCTGCCACGCCCTCTACCACGTCCACCAGGCGCAAGACGGCCTCTACCTCTTGCAGCTGTTAAGAAAAAGGAAACACTCAAATTTAGTTGCTTTTAATGAAATGAAAAGTGAAAATAAATACATCATTAAATACATCTCAATCATCTTACCTGTACATGAAAGTTAAAAGATCAACATCGATGTAGCTCTCAACAACAAGACTGCAACACACTATTTTAAAGAAACCTGATATAAATAGAGACACAATACCATACATACCAGCCTCCTTCTTCTTCGCTTTAGCTTTTGGTGCATCATCAACCAACAGAGTGTCTAGAGGTAAGCTTTCAGGAAGAATGAAGTAGCGAATGTTGTTGCCTCGTATGCTTAGTGACTCTAACTGCACAGGCTCCTTATTCTTGATGGTCATTTTTACAGCTTTCAAGTGTGTGTTCATGCTCATGTCAACACCTAGAGAAGTGATAACTCAAAAATTACTACCCACTGAATTTTTAAATGCTTGGCTAATGCTTAACATGACCAAAAGGGCCTAGTTGATGCCCTGTCAAAAAATCTTAACTTCAGCTTACTAGTGCAAATTTGCTTGCTAATGTTGTTGCCTATGTCATAACCTATGAAAACTGTTGGTTACAGCTATGCCTATGTCATAACCTATGAAAACTGTTGGTTACAGTGCTACAGAACAGCCCTTGTCCAACAACCCAAACAAGTGGTCGCTACAGATTCGCAAAAATGTTAATGTATTGAATCATGTATCATACCATGGCCCCTGCATTGCGATCTGTACCACATCAAGAGAAAACGTATTGTTCCAGTCCTAGAATGCAGCTACCCAGACACGAAGAATTTGAGGGTTGCTTGTCAAAAGGGCTTTTGTTACATTTACGGCACAAGGGCAAACAAGAATTCAAGTTATGTTTAAACTCTGCTTCATTGAACAGCATTAAGTTATCCCTTCCTCCACACACTAAAGTCATGAATGAGAGGATGGCCACCAAGAAATGCTGCTCACTACACAACCTTTATGGAGAATGGTGTAGAGAATATGCTTGTAGGGGGAGAAGGTATTCTCCAATAGACGTCTTTAGATTGTATGTTTTGTTTTCCCAAGAGAGGTCCCAGGGGAACTTGGGTCTTCTGTCTTTACATAAATTATGCGTAGATAAGCATGTGAATGACACGAAATTTGAAGAAACAGTTCTCTAGAGTATTGTTACATGACCTGTATTGGAAAAACAAAACATACAGGCGTAAGAGGTCTATGATGCCACGAGTCTTTAATGGCTGAAAACTTGGATATTTGAGAAAACAAAAGTGAATTTCTACAGTTACTCCGTCTACAATTTATGTCAATGTTGCAGCAGTATTATACTGGAGCAACATTTTCTTTACTTTATATGATTCTTTGAACTGCAAATGCAAGTTTACTTTTAGGAATTGGAACACCATCACGAAAGCGTTCATTTCGATAGTTGCCAAAAGCTGATAGTTAAGCCGTCGCAAACCACAGCACACATGCTGAAAAGAATGCCTTTACACTGCAACATCCTTACCAGTGATTGTTCCATGGACAACAGTTCCATTTTTTAGTTCGATCGTCACTGTTTCGTGGCTTAGCTTCATCAAAAATCTGTCAAACAAAAACATTGAACGTTTATAACTTATCAGCTGCGCCATCATTGCTGTACAACTTCAGAAGGGCACAAAATACATTCATACATTCACTCACCTAACAAGTTTCATGGTTGCAAGCTGAAGAGCTCAGATGCAACCGGATAAAAAAATTACCAAAACTTTGAGAAACTCAAAGATGGCCGCCAAACGTTTCCGAACGTGCGCCCTCGACTTCATGAAGACGTGCACCTCATGCCTCGTTTGGGTGTACGCTCTATGTTACTATGGAAACATTCGCCAGAGATGCAAAGGAAAAAATCAAAATGGCGATGTCGGATGTGGATGTGAGTAGTTCTTTAGACCATGATGAAGAGCCTCTGGCTGAACTCACAGACGAGGAATTATATAATCTTGTTCAAGAAACTTTGTAAGTATTGGTTATCGTAGAATTGATATTCATTATTTGTGACAATAGTCGAATTACTTCGAAAAGTTCTTATTACTTGCTGTAAAGGAGAAATCAATTTTATTTCGGATTGAAAAATCTTATCGACTGAAATCCGAGACTGAAGGGCTGTCTCAGTTCTGCTTTGAATATGAAGCTAACCAGAACTTAACCTGTAAACTGTGAGTCTGTTTGATTGTTAGATTTTAGCGAAAGTTAGCTCGATATTTCTGTTGCAGCCACGCCAACGAGGTTCTTAAAAACGAGACAACAATGTTTGAGAAATATCTTAAAAGAGTTGATCCGAAGGACACTGGACTGCAGCAGGCCGGTAAGTAAATTATTAGGACAGTCTGTTTCCAACAACAGCTACAATAGCTTGATTAAGTATAGCGATATATGTAAAGGGGATTTGAAATGGAAATGGCGCAAGTTTTCTGCCTCTGGCAGCCTGCGGCGGAATTGCAGAGGAACCAAAGAGGTGAAATTGGACATTAGCACATAAAGGCACACTTTGCAGACGCTTTAGTCCTACATGTATATTTGATCTTACTTCACCCACCCCAGACCAATGACAGTACAAATCAGGCAGACCATAATACCTGGGCCTTGGTACCCTACTATTGTTTTCAAACAATGTCACAGGTTCTTTTATATCCTCTTCCGATAATGATTGATGTGTTAGGGTGAAGGAGGCAGGGCTTATGGCTAAATGACCCTGTCCAATGAAACGAGAAAGGGTTTTAATCAGCTAGCATGATCCCACAGCACCAGTTTGGAAGACATTATGGCCTCCAGCTCAGCAGACTAGTACTCTACCAACTGTGCTGACAGGGTGGTAGGAGACCTACCTGGATTCCAGGGGTGCCCAAAATCTCTATCCGAATTTGTTCCAATTTTTACTAATTTTTGAGCAAGTTCCCTGGATACATAACAAGCAGTTTGTGTTATATCCCATAAAAGCTAGCCAAGGTCCTACACAACCCATTATTGAACCTGGACACAGAGGACTAAGGAAGCGATCCCGATCAAGAGGACCATCATTAGACAGGTACACTACATGTTGCACTTTGTTTATTTAGCCATGTCAATGGTGATGATTGTACATGCATGTGCACTACCTTCCTGTTCACTCTCTTCCCCCCTTCATGTGATTTCTGTCTTTCAAACCCTGTTGGATACGTGACTTGCTGAAAGTCTTTTTGTATGTTACATAGGTAGATCTGACATTCACTGTACTGTACTCTTCTCTTGCTGTTTACCTTATTTCCTTTAATTACGGCTGCACAAACTACATCAGTTTTCAAAGGACATGTATGTTGTTGATCTGAACATTTCTGTGATTTATGTTTTTTTGCACTTCATCTAGGCATTTAAAATTGACAGCAGAACAGAAGTGTGATATTGCTCAGCGTGAACTGGAAGAGTTACGAGATGAAATTGAAAAACTTAAGGATGAATCAGAAAAGATCCTTGATAATTTCCGAGTAAGTCTGTGAGATATTAACAGAAGTTAAGTTGCTGGTACTCAATAGTCAGCAGTTTTTATAAGTTAGTTTGTAACTTATTCATCATCAGGCTGTCATGGAGGAAGCAGACATAAGAAGTGCTGAGGTTAAGAAGTCTTCTTATGAATTTGAAAGAGATATAGTCAAAGGAGCCGTTAACCAGGTACAAGACTGATCAGCGGTCACCATTTGTATTTTCAGTGAAAGCTAATGATTGTGAATAGTGTATGCAGTAATAATCATTATTCTTTTACTTCTTTTTGCTTTCAAATTTGCAGAGAACTAATAAAGTTATTGCTGAAAGAGTGACAAAATATATTGAGGACAAACTAAGAGCAAGGGTGAATATAACTTGATTAAATTGTGTTTTTAAAGTGCCAGTTTGGATTCTTTTGATGGTAAGCTTCAGTGCTGCATGGTCATAGAAAACATAATTTAGTAATACATAATATTTATTTATCATTTAACATTTTTCTTTATTGTTTTATTTGTTTCTAGGACACTACAATAGAGAAACTCAGACTAAAGAACTCTACACTTAAGGTTCAAAAGAGAAAACTTCACATGCAACTTAAACAGGTATTTAACCTTTGCCTTTGTACATGTGTATTACAACTAAAGCATGATGTTGAATATAAACGATAAATTTGTGTATAATGTGTCATGTGTAAAATATGTTTATTATTATTTTTTGATAATTTTTGTAGTTTTTTTTACAATTTCCGTTTTTTTTGTAACTTTTCCTTTGTATATCAATATGTAATAAAAAGTGTTGTTGAAAAATAAATAACAAAATATTTGATAAAACTGGAGAATGTACTTGAAAAATGAGGAATTTTCATTTTTATCTCCAGAAAGAAGAAATGGGTGAAGTCCTGCATGAAGTGGACTTTAATCAGCTTAAAATTGAAAACCAGCAATACCTGGAAAAGATTGACGAGAAAAATCAAGATCTTTTGAGACTCAAACTCATGTCCACAAATGTACAACAAATTCTTAACACTTACAAGGTAAGGAAAAGCTCATTAAATTTGTAGCAGTTTCCAGTGCTGTTATTTTACTGGGGTAGTTTTTCTCAGTAAACTTTTAATTATGTTTGTTGAATTGACACATCTATAATCTAAACATTGTACATGTATAAGTCAGATCATTCTACACAAAAATATGATTAAAGTGTGTTTTTCTGTGGATTGATAAGAGGGTTAAGACCAAGCTATCAACAGGTACATTGAGTTGTAATTATGAGATCTCTGATAATACTATTTTAAATTAATAAGAATAAAGAGAAACATAAACATGTAAAAAGTAACAAGACAATGTTCTGACTTTTTGGTGACATCATGATGCCATTATCAAGGAATTCTTTAACTCATCTTGAACTCTCATTTTTATTCCTTGATATTAGTGTCATGATGTTGCCAAAACTTCGACACATTGTCTTGTTACTTATTACATGTTTAACACTATTTTCAACTTTTTCTATAGAAAAAACTGAACACACTGACACTGGAATCATCTGGGTTAAAAACAGAGATTACACAAAGAAATGAACTGCTGTTTAAAATTGATGCAGAAACACAAATGGTCGAGAAGGTAAACTTCACCTTAATATGCTTTATTTTAAAGAATGCCAAATATTTTTACTTTCACAAGAAAATAATGGTTACCATGTATGAATTCAGTGGCCAAAGCTTAACCTTTATACATGCATTTAAAACTATGGATTTTGTTTTAGGAGCGAGCAAAAGCTGAAGCATTAAATTCAAGGTTAAAACAGCAACTTGCTGATTATAAAGTACCAGACGTAAGTAATGTAAATTACATTAACTTTTTTAAAAAAACATTGAATATCAAAGATTATCAAAAAGTGGATCATTGGATAATGCAATTCTAGAGCTCTGATTGGCTTAGCATCATGGTACATGAGCCATTATACCATGCTCTCCAAATACAGTAACTTGCAGGCATCGTTCAAAATTAAAAACAAGCCGAAAATCAGTTATTTTTACAAATAAAATCGTGAAGAATTCTCGATATTTTGTGGGCAGTTTTTAGTGAAACAATATTCAACTTGCGCTTGCTGGATATAGGATGATTATTATAGCCATCTCATATCCAACGTGCACTCATGGAATGGTTAAATAAATGCTCCACTTTGGACCCTAATAAAGTGAATGAAAGTTCAAAATTAATGCAAGAGACGAGTATACATGTAAGTCTTCCCTAAAAGCATGCTTTGTTAAATTTATTAGCTTTTTTTTCACTGTTGGAAAATAACTGTGGAACACGATTTATTTTGAAAAAAGGACATGGCCATACATCTTAGTTTACTTTATGAGAAATGTTTTGGGGGAATATTGCATGGAGGATTGTTTCTTAAAATTAATGTTAGTTTTTTGTTTCCTGTTACAATAGTTTCTGTTAAACTAATTGGCTGTTTTGATGTTAACATCAGCTGGGGTGTGTGATAATGGTGCAAATGTTGTTGAAAACCTGTTAGATTTTTTTCAAGCTTTTAGACCTTTGTAACTTCTGGATTATGACCAAGGTGTTAATAATTGTTAATCTCTGCAGGTACTGGATTATGTCACCGAACGAGCAGACTTGTATGAACTCAACAAAACCGTAAGTTTTCACCACTTGTTGTAAAAGTTCAATTTTTGATGTGGACTTATGTTTTAAACTTACCATTAACATTAATGTTTTGTTCTTGGTTTTTGTTTGTAGGTCCGCATGTGGGAGAGGAAGGTTGAAATTGCCCAGGTGTGTGTGTGTAATAACTCTAGTTTATTGCAGTATGTACTTGGAAGAGTTCCCCCAGCTGTCCCAAGTTTTTTAGCTTCCATAACAGCGATAGTTTCTTCCACAAGCTGTAATTTTGAGCACATGAGGACTATTATTTCTTGTTAGTTTCTTGTTAATGCAATTTTTAGAGATTTTCATTGTGATTTTTAAAGCAACTGGCATTCAGAATGTACCTTACAGTGTGGTTAAAAAATCAATAGGCAAGTACATTTAGGTTGCCTTTTCCAAACATTGTTTGAAGCACTGTTTTCTATTAGAAATTATATACAATAATGAAACTATCTTCTGGTAATTATTCATGCTGACAAATTCTCTTTTATACTGTTCCAGATGGCTTTGAAAACCAATCAGAAAACATGGCGAAAGTTACAGATGGTAAACCAAGAGCAAAATCCCTGGAAAGTGTAATAGAAAAACGTCCAGATATTATAGTGAAGCAATTACACATGCATGTAAATAGTAGAGGGCAGTTTTACTGATCAACCACGACAGACGTTGTGAAATAAATTTATCACATAAAATAGTTGTAAATAAAATTGTATTTTTTGTCATTCATGTTTGTGTCAATTTTGTTTAGTTTCCAGGCCACAAAAATCATTGTTATATAGTCCCAAGAAACGTTGTCTCCTGGAAGCATTTGGTAACATTTTTTAATCATGTCAAAAAAATTTAAATACTGCTTCCCATTAAAAAATTTTGCTTTCTAAACAGGCTTCCAGTTTAGCCACATTTAACTTTTGCCTGTAATGCTGGACCAGCATTCTTCTTGTCTTCCTAGGCCCCATGCAAACAGATGCAACATTGTTGGATGCCACAGGTTGCCTTTGTTTGCAAACCCTGTTGCATGTTGTTACTTGTTGGGAATTGATGCATCTGTTTGCACACCACTGCCAACATGGAGGCAACAACTCCTAACTTTCTTGGTCCAACAATGTTGGGACTTGTCGAGTCCATTTGCTGAAGCTTTACAGTGAAATTCCACCCAGGTCCTTTTGTTCTCTATAGAGTTTTATCACTTGCAAAATGACCTCACAAAGGTCAAATCGTACCTATTATCAATCCTGAGTTTTTATGGCCAAATATCTAACAAAAAGGTTCTGATTATCATTTAATTTATAACATTCCAGCAGTCATATGGGACGGCTGTACGCATTTTTTTGCAAATGATTCCATCCTACAATAAACCTTTCCGTATTCACTGTAGTGCTCATGTGTACTCATGTACATTTAAATCACTGTGGGCATGCATGCTTTTCTCATGATAGAGTTTCGTGCACACATGCCTTTTTTCTTTACTGTGTCACAAAGAAAGATTTCAGTCAAAATTAAACTCACTTCAAATACGTTTTGTAAGAAAAATGTTTCAAGGAACTGAGAACTGGTTTTCATTGTTTTAAGAACAGATCATTGTAAAGGGAATTTGCATGGTTTGCTATTTTACTGGTTTTTTTTCTATTTCTTGTTCATCTTACTATTATTACTTCATCACTAAAAACTGTTCTGAGGGAACAACTGTGCCATACAATATGGAACTTGTTTATGGACACGCATTTTTCGTTTGGTTCATTAAATAATTCATTATTGCCTATAGATTAATGTTCTCCCTATCCCTAAAAATATACAATCATAATAAGACAAATTTATTTCTACAGTTACTTTTTATTAATACCTCAGGAATGAGGTCACAAATGCTACGTTTTTCCTTATTTGTTTGTATATTTTTGCCGCCATTGACAAGTCCATTACAATTGTTATACTTTTACGACAAATAAAAAGGAATTATTTCTGAAAGAAAATACAACCCAATTTTAATTCTTTTAATGGCCTAGACTGATTGCCAGACTCATTCGTGTCAGGTTAACAAAAGCTTTCTTTTCGCATGGCTACAAGGGAGGGGCAGTAAACTGAAGATGTACACTATTTTACATCGTTTTCTACAGTGTTTATAATGGATCTTATACCTTTAAAAAATTAATGTACTTTCCAACACTTTTTGGCAAAACTTAATATTACAATAATTTAGTCATGGGAGACAACTATACAGTAACACGAACTGACATTTACATATTTTAAGGACCTAACTAATTTACATAGCCATAAATGTGTCATGGCTATTAATGCTGTCTTAATTTGTGACAAATAGTGGTGGGATTTGGTTTCTGGATTAAAATTTGAAGTATATAACATGGTGAATTTTATGAGATGTTTTTTCCATGAGCAGTGTTAAAGGTAGCCTGGGTACAGCTGCCCCCTCCCCACAACAAGGGAGGGGAGGGGAGGGTAGAAGGCAGCTGTATACAGGCTTTGTCAAAGGCAGTGTACTAATGTATAAAAGCTGCAATCAGTATGATCGGCATTTACGATGGTAGCTCCACAGAGTGGTCCTCCCTATGTCTAGAGACCCAGTCTTCTTCTGCAATCAATCAATCAATAATCACTCACACATGCACACACTCTCAATCATTTAAACAATCAGTCAATCAATCATTTAAACAATCAACCAGTCAATCAATCAAACAATCAATCAACCAGTTAATCAGTCAATCAATCAATCAATCAACCAGTCAGTTAATCAAGCAAGCCACTATTTGCTGTTAATATTAAAATGACAGGAAAAGCAGTAATGACTGCAAATGCTACTTACCTTGGCATTTTCGACTGCAGTAAAATTTTGTGCCTTTTCCTTTGCACCTGTTAGGGACAAGAATCATCAGAATTAAACTCCTTCGCCAGACAATCTGTCTGTTCTTTAGAAAAATCCTAAGATACACAACATTTTCTGGAGAGGAAATGCAAGGAAGAGGTCTTCACCATCTCCTCCCATCCTGTTAACAAAAGGGTGCTCTAATATGAAACCACAATGATGGTGACAGCTATTGAAAGTGTCACTAAAAAGGGAATTCGCCTTCTATCTAGCCTTGGTCAATGTTGTCAAATGCAGGCTAATTTTTTTTTGGAGTTGAATCTTTGAGAACTGTATCCAAGTTCAAAAGAGAAAGGACAATTCATTGTTATGTTCTTTGTGAAGTTTCATACATTGTACATAGTTGTACAGTGGCATAGAAGAAATAAATGAAAAAGTGTGATGCACATGCAAAGCATTCAAGTTCTGGTGGTCATGGATCCAATCCTTGGTTATTCTTGTAAACAGCCAACTAGTTATATTCTGCCGGTTGTGCTTTTAAAACCTTTATGATATACAGTGTACTTGTGTTATTTGTTTGTCATCATAAGTGGAGTCCCTGTAAACTAGCCAGACAGCAAAGTGCACTTCCACCATAAACAAATGGCTAACATTTTACATTTTATTTAACAGTGCAAGCCTGGTGTGCCTGTGTAACCGGCGGTTTTGTTAGAGAGAGGTAACAGAGGGGAGAACGACCTTCCAGTGTGCTTTAATTGCCTCAATGCTCATTTGTGCATTCACCAAACAAAGATTGCCAGTTATGCAGGCCAAAATGGAGCTGATAGCCATATAACTTTTCTCAACAATAATTACATCCATCTTACCTCCCACATTTCTTGTACATTCCTCGTTCTTTCTCAACTTTTTTACAGTTTGCACATTGGTGTCGCTTGATCTGAATCTGACTCTCAGAATAATCCTTCATTATCACTTCATGGAGACGGCTTCCTTCAATCCGTTCCTCTTCCTTCTTCCTGCAACGTTCTTCAAACTCCTGATTGGGGTGTGGTTTTCCCAAATGAAAGTCTTCCCTTAGTCTCCTATAAGAACCATCTTTATCTCGCTTATAAACTTCCATGTACTCAATAGGAGATGGCCCTGCTCTGTCAGTCAACACAGATTGTATTCCTCTTATAACTTTGGTATGCCAATTGTCGTCATCATCATCATCATCAACATCATCATTATCCTCATCTGAACTATTTGCTTTGTTCAAGGACCCACTATTTCTTCCACCAACAGTTGCTACAGCAACCATTGTGTTGCTAGATGAGGATACCTCGCTTGTTAGCACCCTTACTGAAGACTGAGGAGTATTTGCTGAGCCCTGGTCTGTTCCGGTGTTTGATGTGGATTTTGATTTAAGAAGAGCTGATAAGGGTATTGCTGTTAAGGAAGTAACACCAAGCTCATCCAGTTTTCCAGCTTCTAACCAGCGCTTCAAATAGCGACAAATGGAGCCACCAAACTTAATATACAGGGGTAATACACACATCACCTAGAAATTAAATGCAATTTTGACTAATTTTTTCTCAACACTAATACTTAACAGTTTGATGAAGGGTATTTTGCCTTGGGAATGACAGTCTAATGGCATAGCTTTTTATGAATTGTAAGTCTGAATACTGAAACTGCAAGGAGCGAACAACTACACTAATTCTCCATATTATAAATTGAAGCTGCAAGGACAAGTGGTCAATAAATAAATTTAGCAGGGAAAGTTGAGGAGTAACTTTAAAATTGACATATGTGAGTGAATGTGGGTGGGGGATTGCTCTTAGAGCAATACTATAGCTGAACAAAAAGCATTAAGCCTAACAAGTGTCGCCCTTGTGGACGCTGAGGTTTGTAAAAAGACTTTGACCCACTTGTAAGACATAAGACACTTAAACTAAATATAAAGAATATCTACCTTCAAGCAGGTTTCATTTTCTATTGGTTCTCCAAATAGACGTCGAAACACATCTCTGAAAACAAATTCAACAAGACTGATGGAAAAAATATGAACAGCACTAGTTAAAATGTGAATAAACCTTTCATAAACAAACAGTTTACTTCTTTAGCAAGTCTATTTTCACAAAGACAATACATTAAGGGCAAAAAGTTACCCAAATCCCTTGGTAATGTTCTTTCTAAAAATTGTGAAATTAACTTACCTAGAATCCTTGTGTATAAATGGATTTTTAGCTGCAAAAATAACAGGTTTGTGTTTGAGATATTTACTTACAAATATTGAAAAAAAAAAATTCATTGCATGGAACTAAGGAGAGAAAGTAAAAGGGTAAAAAATTAAAACTTTTGTGCCTACTTTCCCTCTTTAGGAAAAGTGTAGCTATTAATTGTGTCATAAGTAAGTGAGTGAGTGAGTAAGTAAGTAGGTAAACTTCCCCAAAGAACCTAATACCACGTCGATCAAAACAAACTTGGTGCAGTTGTTGTGGCCATCACTTTAGGCGTCAAAATACATTTGGCCATGAATTTTGACAGTGGATGCATTTTACAAGTTTTCTATTTTATCCTGAAGTTGGCACGGTTATTCGAGTCAAATTCGTGCACAAGACAGTGGTTGCCTAGTGCATGATTAGTTTCTGGTTATTAGTGAAGGGACATGTTGATTTACATATTTGTAGTTTCTCATTGTTGGGCACTGTACTGCTCGCACTAGCTGGTGTGGGGTATTCCTAGTCACAGAATCATCTCTGCTAATAGAAATGCCGACATGACCATTCAGGCCCTATGCTAGTGTTGGAGTGAAAATAGTTTGAACAGTATGTGGCAGATAGCATCAGCAATGGGTCTGAAAATAAAGAAGTGGCTGACCAATTCTCAGTTTGAATTACGAGAAGCCAGGGCACTCAAAAAAATGCCATTGCACCACCTTCAAGCCCTTGTAGGTCAACACGCCAAAAAACAAACGCAGCTGTCACCGGAATCACACTACCATTATAGCCTGTGTCACAGACATAATTTAACCTTGGGCATTTATGCCAACTCTATGTCAACAATGACATGGATATTATCACAGATATCTTTGGCTGTCAAAATGGCAAAGGCAACTATTTTCTTTAACATGTTTTATGAGCTCATGTGATAAATTCATATGAAAGAATATTTTCACTTCATATGTGGGCCTATGTATAATGTTAGTGCATAGTATGACCCTCATTTCTTTTCAACTGTTTCGTAAAAATTTGGGCAACTTGAAAGATTTTTTGGGTAAATGGTTTACTGCCCCCCTTGGCAAAAAATTGCCTGTACACCTTTGTCTGAGGTGTTGTTGTTGTTGCTATTTTTTAAGATTTGCTTTTTGACTGCAAATATTTGAATATTAAAATAAGGCAGTAGCCAGTGTCATGCAGTAATAAATTGACTATTCTGTGCACATACCATGATTGGATGAACCAATGTACTGCATAGAGGGTCTACTCTGTGCCAGACAGACTGCATCTGTTACCAAACACTTGGCTTTACTAAACCTTCCTACATGATATAACACATCATGACAAAATAGCAAGTTCAAATAAATAATGAATCAATTGTAAACAGTTACCTAATACACTATATATTTTTTACAGATGCGTACTGAGTATCTTGGCCTTGAGTGAAAGCACTTGGCTTTAGGTAACCTAGTTTTGATAGAATCCCTAACTGCTTTTCAAATGCTAATCTTTTTTTACACATATAGTCAACTCTCTCTAAGACGGACACACATCAGTCCTGATTGTCTGTCTTTAAGAGGTGTTTGGCTTAGCAAGCAAGACTACAAAATGTCAAACATTTTGCAATTTACTGTCATGTACAGCACCTACATTTTCTGTTTTGAGGTATTTTTCACAACATATTTGCAGTTCCAAATTGTCCATTGATGGTTTCAAAACTGTCCTTTGTCAATCTTAGAGAGGACTATCTGTAGACATCTTTGAAAGCAAATGAAACTTGCTTTTCCCAGGAAAATTATTATTGGCTGAACGGTGATTATCCTGTCATCATCATGTCAATGACTCATCACGCTTGCCCCATGTGAGTAGAAGTGTTTGTCATTGTGGGATGTGCTAACCACAACACTTACATTGTAATTTGCATTAAAAAATAACATCAATTGTGAACTTGGGAATCAATATACTACAATCTTGTGTTGACCATGTTGACCATATCTTTTGTTTTGAGCTGTAGACTATGGAAAGCATGCTTGACAACTGTTTGGCACAGTTTTCAAGCAAATATGTGCTCAAAGAAGAACAGCCTCAAGCTGTTTTGGGTTTAATGCTGGTTTTTACCTGTTGTTCGCAGCAGTGAAACTCAAACAAAGAGAGAAGAATGTGGGGTATTAGTTGCATCGCTATTACAAAGTATTATCAAAATATGATCAAGTAAAGGCAATGAGAGAAGCTGGCGTTTCAGCCACTGCGTTACCTTTCACAGAACCATGAGGTGATGTGGACATTCTTTTAAACCGAAAGCTATCATTGTCGTGCTTGCTTTGTTGAAAGTTGGTTTGAATAATAGAAAATTTAGCCCAGGTGCTTCTAACCTTATTACTACGTGACTGATCTTCCGTTTGCAAAATGGTAAAACCGAGATCTCTTTAAACTTCCTTCACAAAGTCTCAATAAAAAGATTCTCTGTAGCTTTACGGGAACAGGAAGATTGCTCAGTACTATTGACATATGAGGAGCACCCACATATCCTACAATAATCTGATGGGCTGATTTGTTTTGGCTTTGCCCCTTTTTTAGCCAGCCTTTTCGATGTTGAAGCAGTCTAACAAGACATGCCTTTAACAAACACAAGCTGCAATTTATATCCCTAATATCATTGGTCAAATTTAATTGGTGTGAAAGCAGAGGTGATAATGATGAGGCATTGACATGGGGGAGGGACTTAATAAACCTCTTTTTTCCCAAAGATGTCTACAGGCATTCTATATTTTTCTTTCTCACGCACCGTGCTCACCAATGTTTTCAAAAAGAACAACAAGAAAAATATAACAACGTCTGTGTACAGGCTATGAATGGATTTGCTTTAATATGTTTACTTTCTCTGATGCATCTCTAAGACGTAATATTTAATACATCATAATTATTTTTAAATCTTACCATTAACAAAACTTTCATTCAAATATTGTATAGCTTTATCAACAAGGGCAAGTATATTGTCATTCTGTGAAAAAATGATAACACCTCACAGCTCAATTATAAGGTTAAGTGATGTCACACTCTTTTGTCCAAATGAACAAAATTTAAACAAAGAAGAGAAAACAATGACAAAAATAATACCTTCTTACATGTACCTTAACTGGGAAGTTTTTAATACAGCCATGATTCACTGAGAATTCTTGAAAAGCATCCACAAACTTCTGCTTTTGCTCTTGAGACTGTTTTACAATAATAAAAAAAAAAAAGCAAAAATAAAACCTAACCGGCAACCTAACAGGCTATCTGAGTCCTAAATATGCAAGGAAAGCTTCATTTTCACTTCCTATTCCTTTGAATATAAATATCAATCAGATCCTAGGAACCTAAGAGCCTAAGACCTAAATTAGCGGCATTTCCAACTTCTGTGTTTTACATAAACTTGGCATATTTTGATTGGGGTTACTGTGTTAACATGCTCCCCCTTCCCAACAGAGGACTTTCAAACTTTTCTTCTTAAAATGTATTCACCACTAATGAATTCCATAAGCTACCCCAGCTGAAGAATTCCACTGTCCCTCGACTCGGGATGCGTTAAAATTTTATTTTATGTGATAGCCTCCTAAACCCGGGGAGTGGGGGAACATTTTGAAAAAGCCTTCTCAACCCAGGGGGGAGTACAAACATCTAAAATGCAATAGCCCATGTATTCACTTATCACTCCATCCATACCTGGTCTTCCAACAAACTTTTGAACGCTCCTTTGTGCTTCTGGAAAAACTCATAGTCCTGTGCTGTCATGTCGGAATCGAAAAGTTCAAAATCCGTCGAACTGATTAAAACATTTCTCATCTTGATGCCACGGAAGAAACTGCACAGTTCGATTTTAACGTAATTAGGTGTTCAGGACATTCCATGGAGTATACACGGAACACTTACCCGCAATGTATTTATTTCATGTAAGGTGTCATGAAGACACAGGCAGCCCAGCATGAAATAAGCGAAATTACAAAATCTCACGCTGCGTCCCTGAAAGCACATTCCAGTTACTTCCATAACTAACTAAACCAAAGTACCGTCTTGAACCAACTGATTTTTTTAAACAGCCTATCCCCATCGTAAAAACAATAGCCTCGTCCCCAGAAGAAAAAAGAGAGGACCATGGAAGACGGCTAATCTCATCTCCAAAACACCCTTCGAATAAAGCCCAGGAAGATTGCCATGTCCAGTGCAACCTCGTACTTAGGGGTTTTCCCTTAGAAAATGGAACTGCGAAAGAAAAGAGGGAGAAGGGAAAAACGCTGGGCCGGAGGTGGGAGGATTGCGTGACGAGCCAAAAGAACGACAGCGTGGGCGTCTACTGAAGTTTTATCCTGGGGAGACCTTTCCAAGCCCGGAACCCCCCGGAACCCACCCTTTTTGTCTTCCGGCCCCGGTACACCATCACCTCACCTGACTTCCAGTGCTTTTATGGGAAGAGGGTCTTCTTTACTGACAGCGCTGACAGCGCCGAGCTGTTCGAAGAATAATTATTGCAACTCTATTAAGCCGTGTTAGTCGCCATGATAACTAAGACGGTATGCTTAGGAACAGCGCTAAACGGGCTTCGATCTTGGGAAGAATACCAATAAGTCTGATAAAATCCCAGATAAAATGACTACCTTTACTTCAATTTCGCGCAAACGCTCCCGTGTTAGCTAAGAGCGAATAGCGAAAGTTGGAACGAGCGCTCAAACCTACTCAGTTTTGCTCCTGGGTTTGCAACAGAACACTCAGGATTCTTTCTGCATGCACCATATGACCCAGGCCCGTAACCAGGGGGGGTGCACGGGGTGCGTTCGCACCCCCCCCCCCCCCCCCACACCAAAGCTCCCAATTTTTACACCCCAAAACCATATTTAGAGGGAGGGTCCTTTAAAAAGTAATTTAAAAATAACACAAGATATAAAAAACACATCAAAACATGAAAAAATCAGTAAACACATCCTAAAGAAAACAAAAACACGAA